TTATGTTTTATTTACTAGTATTATAAAACAAATACGTAAAAAAGAAATCTTTAAAAACTTCTTGCGAAGAATAGAATTATGATTATTCATAAAAATATGCTAGCGTCTCCAGGTAGATGTTGAAAGACATATTTTGATGATAACATGTGAAAGTTATGATCACCAGAGAAAAGAAATACATGTATTTCTTAAAAACAAATTTCCAAAGAACTGCGAACGATAGCATTGTTCTCCCGCCTACCTCCAAGTCAATTTTCAAAAGTTAACACATTTGAATGATTTTTCATATTTATATAGATAGTTATATGAATTTTCATTAAACATTACTTCTTTGGGGAAACAAAGATAGATAACTCAATAATTTGGGTAAAACTTGTGTTTTTCACTATAGAAATCAACGGAAAATATTTTTAAAACATCTCCCCCCCCCCCCCCCCCGTGAAACAAAAATTCCTTTTTACAGGTAATATGGACTGTCATTTCACAAATTCATACCAAAGCTTTTTGTGTTTCACGGGGGGGGGGGGGGGGGGGACATATGTTTACAGACAAAAAACTAAAAAAAATTTTGTCAAGCAATATTGTAAAACCTCCAAAGTATTTCTCTTTTGGAAAGAGATTTTGGAATATTATTCACACAAGGTTAAGACATAATTGTATTTTAAATTCTGACCTATTTCGCTGTAATTTAATAGACAATCCAAATTGCTCATGTGGACAAATAGAGGATCCCTACCATTTGTTTTTTGTTTGTAGAAAATATGCAACAGCAAGACATTCTCTAATGAGTAATTTATTATCATTCAACTGTTTGTACATTATAGATGTGCATTTGATATTATGGGGTGTAAATTCATTTTCTGATCAGCAAAATGTAGAAATTTTTAAAGTTATTCATACTTTTTTAAAAGAATGTGGTAGATTTTCTAAAAAATCTTAATTTTTGTATATAGAATTGTATTCTGGTATAAAGAGCTTACAGTCTTTGACACTACTAATTGTTACTGAGAATAATTGTACTTTATTATGGCAATGTTATAAAATTTTGAATAAGGAGAAGACTATCTAAGTTGTAGAACTTGTGTCTTATCCTTTTGGCTTTGTCAATAAAATATGTTCAATTCACAAAAATGCTTATTTTTTCACCAATTTCAAAGGGTTTTACGACTAAAACATTGTATTTTCTTAATAATATATGTTTAATTTTATATGCTTAAAACATAAGAAAAGATTTAATGAACATTTATTCATATCCAAGAATATTTTAAAATGTGTTGATGCTTCAAAGCCCTATTTCAATGGAAAATATCATCTACCCCCCTTACCGGTATTTAAAGAGCTGGAATTAGGGTTTATTAACTATTTAACACGGCATTAAGATTTTCAATCAATTATCATTGAACTGTTCTTTGCATTCAACAAAATTTTTACGGCCAAATTGCCATTAGTTTTGAATTAAATGCCTTAATGGGTGTAAAATGTAGGCGGGAATCGAGAGTTAGCGTGCGTAGTTCTTCTTCAGGTTTAGATAATAAAGAAGCATTGGTTACTCAATATTATGGACTGTATCTTTAATTTTTTTATTAATACACAAAAAAATTCTACTTTTCTTAAGTATTAAGGATAAAGTTTATTTTGTGAAAGTACAAGGATGTGTTAATCAAACGCGTCCCGAAATTCGTGGTTTCAATAATTTTCAGATAAAATATTTTTTTTTTTATTATATTTCCGTGTGAAATGCTATATCAACATATAAGTCACGATATTATACAGAAAATTTTAGAAATATTAACTTCAGATCTGTGTCTATGTCCCTTTAAGTTTTTTTTAAGGAATTCACGAAAGATTTGTGTCATCTTAAATCTATGATATGCAACCCTGAATATTGGTACAATGCATAAGCAATTTTAATTATTTTGCGATGTATACCCCCCTTTTTTGTTTATAACTATGGAATATTAGCCTGTAAAAAATTATTAACTCCAAGTGGTTTAGATTAAACTTGATCTTGTTAATATTTCTGAAGCTACAAATGAAACTTTGATGATATTTCACAAAGATTCCTTCTTACTGGTGTCGTGTGCTTTAATCTTGGAAAGAAAACGCAGGTAATCAGAGATTACAGAGCTCACAATGAATGTTGTCTTTAAGTTGTCTTTAAGTCCCACACTAAACTAATAATCTAGTAATGTGCATCCCTAGATGCAACATTTACGCAAGTTTGGTTCAGATAGGCCTTATAGTTTCTTGGCAATGAACCTGCTCCAAAAACTTTAACCTGGTCACTCATCCGGAAAATGAAAGTCAGATCCAGCATCCGAAGCAAGTCCAGTAGTGTGCATTCTTAGATGTATCACCCATGCAAGTTTGATCAATATGGGCTTATAGTTAATTAGAAATGAGATCTTCTCCAAAAAACTTTAACCTGGTCACTCATCCGGAAAATATAGGTCAGATCCAGCATCCGAAGCAAGCCTGGTAGTGTGCATTCTTAGATGTATCATACGAGCAAGTTTGGTCAATATAGGACTTAAAGTTACTTGGAAATGAGACCTTCTCCAAAAACTTTAACCTGCTCCAGAAACATTAAACTGGTCATTCTTTAGCTGATATTGCAGCATCTGACTGATACACCTTGACTGGTACAATAACACACTAGAAACATCCTCCATGCATCTCTGATTGATATAGGGCATAGAAGTAATAATAAGTTACCCCAACTTCGTTGAGGTGAGCTAAAAAATTAAACTCAACCTAAAAATACTAAAAATATATTTGTATGTTAGCTCCCTATATATACTTTATGAATATCTACAGTATCTGTTAATTTTTTTTTTTTTTTTTTATTTTTTAGTTTTGATGGAGATTAACGTCTTTAAATAAAAGCAAAAGTATATGAGAGTATATATACCATGAAAAGCGATCTAATTCTGGGTAAAAATGTATACATCTGCGTAGTATTGTGACAAGGCGATAAATTTAGAAAGGTAAAGTTCCCTATTCCTAATACGTGGTACTTCTCCCATACGTAGTATCATTGAATTCTAAACACTTGAAAGAAAATAATACTTTGTTGAATACTAGTAGTTTGTTCAGTATCATTGAATTTCAAATACATGTAGTTGAAAGAAAATAATACTTTGTTACCTTAATTGAATACCAGTTACATATACTAGTATTTCTTGGTGAAACGTACACTTGCTGAGTATGTAGATTATAAAAAAAAATAAATAGGGTGGGGTTTCTCTTTGAAATTCAAAATATTTTGAATAACAAAGATCTGATGAAGTTTTTTTTGCATATATTTATTTTTTTAAATGTAACTTTCAAAAATATGAACAAAATTTTACATTATATATTGCAAAAATGTTGTGAACTTTACCATTGATACTTTATTACTGTCATATTTATAAAACGGTATATTAGAATACCAGATGTGGTTATAAATAATTTTACTATTCGAGGTAAATATATTTCTATTTAGTTGAACAAGTATAATATACACGGATTTAAAGGAATGGTTTGGATGATAAATATTTTTGCATTTGCATATCAATAGGATATTCCGTAAAACCGTATCGTTGAGGTAATCCTCAGATTAAATATAGCTCACAAAAAACATTGAATGTGCGTCGTTTATATTAAAAAATGTTCTTTAGGGTAAAACTTCCATGAACGTCATTTAAAATCCGTGACTTATTAACTTTTTATATCCTCAGTGAGTTTCGCAGAATTTGATTTCTTTCTGATTGGGAATCAGGAAGACTTTCAAGACACCTCTATAAATTAGTTATTTTTAATCATCAAATAAGACGGAGTAATTTGTTAGATTTTTCCGTACGATAGAATTAAAACGAACTAAAGCAAACAATTCGCAACAAATTAAAAGAAAAACAAAAGATCAGAAGGCTGTCAAAATGTTCAAATAAATCTGCTTGTGTTCTTTCTGTTATCAAATTCAAATTCCTTTCAAAAATTAAGATTTCCTAAACAATTATAAAAATAGTGTTTCTTCTCCTTTCAATATTTTCAGCGATGACGTTTTGCATACAATCATGATTGATATTGACTCTTAATCTGCATTGATGCATAATTTGCATTTTTGCTTTAACCGAACTTTCATCCGAGTTGGGATATCAAAACACTCTCAAGAGCAGGTGTCTTGGACATATAATGTTCAGAGCATTTCTTATTGTTTGAATAACAATTTGAATGCAATTTGTGCAATCGAAAACAGTTAACCCTATGTTTGTTTAAAGACATTGACCAGATAAAATGCTTTAATTCATGTTAAATCTATGTTCAGTCGGTGTTCGATTGTTTATATACATCTATGTCAATATCATCAAATTATCAGTGGTTCAATAACCCCCCCCCCCCCCAAAAAAAAGCATTAAGAAGGGGGAACACACTTAGGGTAGTAAAAACATTTCAATAACTTTTTGGCAGCGCGGGGAGTGGGTGATGGTGATTCCATATATACAAACTATTTTGAGAAGAATTAAAAGTAATCAAAAGTAATCAGGAAATAATCATGATTACAGTCAAATTCTAAACTGTAATTGATCAAAATTTCAAGTATCCGCGATAATAAGATGTTTCATGATAACCGATTACATTTTTTAGAACTACTTGGGGGAAAAATTAATCAATTACAGCTGAATATAATACAATATTAACGATTGGGGGGGGGGGGGGGGCTTCTTGCGATAACACACGCTCGGACACGCTCGGCTGTGTTCGTAAGATTCCGACAGAAACTTCGGATTCTACCGGATGAAGCCGATCAAGAGCGTAGGTTGGAAGAGAATTAATTATGAACTATTTGCTTCATGTATTGAAGATATCAGGGTGGGCATTTTTTAGTTCTTTATAGATCTACAAAAGTTTGTGAATTTTGAAAATATCTATGTCATTAGGATGTTTCGGAAATGTTGATGAAACACCTCTTTCTTCAAAGCGTATGCCAGACGTTGAGGGAAATCGAACATACACGTACTGGAATTTGGCTTCATTTGCTTGGTAAGGTAATTTTGTTAAAAAGCGGCTGTGCTACGTAAAACAATCTATATTCTTTATATGTATTTGACTTAAAGGAATGTTTTTATAGGAAGATATAAAGAATGTATGATTTCAATTTGTATTTTAATAGAAAATTTCGTTACCAGATAAAATCGCGATAAAACAGGACAACTTCCGGTTTGTGTTCGTAGTTATAACGTTTGATTTTGTATGTTGGACGTTTACTTACTCTAGGCCTTCTGCAAGCTATATCACACACGTCATTTAAAAAAAAAGTGTGTTGTTACTTTTAAACGTGGTAAGTTTTTACAATGTCAACCAACAATGTTGCTTCCCTTTGTTTATAAAGTATTAACACAGTGTTGTTCAGTTAACCTTTTTTTTAAGGAATGAATTTAAAGCTACCCAAGTTGTACTGAATAATTTGGGTTGGGGCAATATATGCTTTATTAACCTTGGAGCGATTTATAATAAAGTATATGCTGTTCTAACCCAAGTTATACAAATATAATTTGGTTAGGTATTTATTGAACTAAATTCTTCCCTTGTAATTTAATTTCCTATCATTCGGTATAACAAGTAAGACAATTTTCCCTTCAAAAATGCTTTAAATTCTACATTTTTTAAATGTAACATCAAATGGATAGATTCAGTTATGATGTAAATGATTATGACATAGGCAACACAGGTTATACAACATTAACAAAGTTTTCTATCTAATCTAATGGCTTGTTACAACCAGAATAAATTTATTTTTAAATTAAAAAGTGGTTATGCAGATTTGTCGAAAACCGTAGGTCCTGTAGGCAAGGCAGGTAAAAATTTATCTTGATTGATAACTTTCAAGAGAACTTCGGTCCAAATGACCATTTGAAAAATCGAGCGTTTAAAAAGATCAGGGTGCGCAGGTGAAGGTCACATTTTGACTCTTCCATTGTATTAGTAGTTAGAGTTTACTATATGAGTGGCACTCAATTCCCTCAAAATAGAATTGGATTTAGTTATGCTTTGACATATGTAAGCTTGTATCTATAGATAAAATTCTTTATTAGGCCACAATTAAAATATTGTTAGTTTGGCGTTGCCGACTTAGTCTTTATACGTTTGGGTCAGTAGGTAGGGAAAATATTTTTTTTATTTAAATTTCAGAAATGGTACATGTTGTTAGTATCCGAACGTCATGGGTTTCCGATAGTTTAACAATAACCACAGTCAGAATTGATTCCCAGTTTTGTCACTGATTTTCAAACCCTATTAGTTTTAAACCTTTAATATACATGGTATTAAAAATCACCGACATTAAACTAATGTAAAGTCATTATCATGTGCACGAATCCAAGCATTGCAGCTAGATTCATCTAGCAAATCAGACAGAACATTGCACTGTGAAATTCCTATTTCCAACTGGTATATCTTATTCATCAGTTTACTTTTAAAACCACATTACCACAGAGAGTCATGCCATCAACTTCTGTTATACCGAGTTTACATTTTACCGCTTTCGACAGCCATGCTTGGATTCGTGATACGCATTTATTCAACATCACATAGGTGCTTATAAATGAGAACTGTTTGATCAATCAAGCGTTTACATGATTCTTTCCCATTCTGTATATATTATGCAAACGTACAAACACCTAAATCCGGATGAATATAATGAAATAAAAGTTATGATCAGTATCTGTTGAAAAAATTCTTTGGACGGCACCGATTTATATGAGTTGGCCAGCAACACCAAACAATGCTAATTTTATTTTTGGCCTTATCTTTCACCTATTTTATTTGTAAGACTTCTCTATTCCACCATTTAATTTTTTTGTTATAGACTAACATTCCAGTGTTCTATATGTTCTAAATTCACCAGTTCAACCGAACTTAAATTATAAATTATTTATAAAATAAAACTCAAAACACTTTTATATAGGATGAGCTCGCATGCGCGAGTGCAACAGACTTTAATGAAGTGTATACAGTATACAAAGCAGTCTTTAGTTTGACTTCTTATCCATATCATTCTACAAAAGAAAAATACTCAAAGAAAGCAACAACATCAAAACGAACAAAAACATGTACGGAATATAGATACTGGCAGGGGTGGAGTGGGGTGGGGGATTAGTCTGTTGCAATGTAGCAACAAACTTCGAAGGACTTAAAACACCCGAAAATCTACCTTATACGTGACTGAATCATGCGTAGCACGGATTCAACCTATTCACCCGTGAACAAAATGAACAACCAATCGATCTCCTTTACCGATAAACCTTCTCTGCATATATAACAAACACACATGTTTTCCCGTAACTTTTATAAATATATTTTAACTGTCATGCACAAAGATAGTGTTATGAAATATTTTTTGTCTCTAAAAGTAGAACAGAATGGGTACTCGTGTATATATTGGAAGACTGTCACATCATGCCAGAGAACGGGATGTAGAAAGATTTTTCAAAGGATATGGACGACTTCGGGATGTCATGTTGAAAAATGGATATGGATTTGTGGTAATATTTAGTTAATTTCTTTTCTTTCAATTTGATTTTTAAATAAGGTCAATGAAAACAATTAGAATATGTAAAAAAAAAAGTTTAAGCGATAATTTTTGAGTTCTCTTATATTTTATGCATTGCTTTCAAGGAAAAAATGATTTAGAAATGATAAAATGAAAGTTTTTTGATGTAGTGTATTAATTGCAGGAGTTTGAAGATTATCGGGATGCTGATGATGCAGTGTATGAATTGAATGGAAAAGATCTGGCTGGTGAAAGGTAATTTCTTACCATTTCTTACAAGAGCTTTTAGATGAAAGGTTATTACTGGATGTAGAACTACAGAGATGTTCGTTAGATTTATATTTTTAATAACAAAAACATTCAGACGTTTCCTATATTTGTCTTCACAAAAATTTGTTACAAAGAATTACTTTAATGAATAACAGATAATATTTCTAGAAATATTAAATATTCCAAAGGTCAACAGTTTGCTTCATTGTATCTCTCACTCATAATCAAGTAAAATGAGTTATTCTTGGGGAAAAAAAGGGGGATGTTGAAAGCTGAAATCAGATGAAAATCTCCCTGAAAAAAATGTGATCTTCCTCAAACAGGAGAAATCAAAGATAGCAATTTTTGTTTGGAGTATTTTCAAAAGGTATTTCCATTTCACTGGTAGCACTCCAATGAGTTAGTCAACACCCCCAAGATTTGACAATTTTAGTGATCTTCGTTTGAATGATGTTTGAATATATAAATAGTACATGTTTTGGAGGTTAATAGTTGAAATTGACACCCGAGAGAAAACCATAAGCAAAGGATGCATCAGTTGACAATGGTTTTCCAAGGGATGTCAGTATCAACTGTACTGAATGTCTGATTGATAAATAAGAAAGTCGAAAATTTAGATATCGTTTAAAAGGCTTTTAAACTCTCTGCCTACCTTTTTTCCCACTAAGAAAGCTTTGATTCACTACCCTCTCAAGTGGTTGATTTCAGTAACATGAAAGTATAATAATGTAAAGTGCAGTTGCAGGTTTCTATTATCATTGACAGAGTGATTGTGGAGCATGCTCGTGGAGGTCCTCGGGGAGACGACAGGAGAAACAGTTACCGTGACTACCCTCCCCCAAGGGGAAGAAATCGGGGAGGAGGAGGAAGAGACAAGTGAGTAGTGCAAATTTTCACAAAACGGACAATTTATAGGATATCTTAAAGATAATTGTTGATAATTGACAATTTATAGGATATCTTAAAGATAATTATTGATAATTGACAATTTAAAGGATATCTTAAAGATAACTATTGATAATTGACAATTTATAGGATATCTTAAAGATAATTGTTGATAATTTCATACTGTTAAAGAAGTAGAACTTTACCTGTGTTCATCTTGTTCTTTGGAGGTATGGGCCACCAACTAGAACCGACTACAGACTGATTGTGGAAAACTTGAGTTCTCGAGTCAGCTGGCAGGTATGTTGAATATTATAATGGATGATCACATGTTGGTATTGTGGTCACACTTAAAAGGAGTACAGTATTACGTGTATATATTAAGAAATGAACCTTTATATTTAAATCTTGACTCTTCCCTGATTGTATTCACTTTAGATCTTCATGGTTTTATGTTTCACTTGCTCTAAGAGTAATTCCATAAGTATTTTTGCACATGTCACTTAAATAGATTTGCAGGGAATTTTCGAAGAAATATCGACATGCACAGTAAATTATTTAAATTGAGGAGGTGATGCCACAGAGTTCCAGCACTGTATCTTAAGAGGAGTTCATCTGTTTCCTTTGTGACTCTAAGAGGGCAGAATAATTGAAATATGTGTTATATGGAATACTGTCAGATTTATAACTGTCATGTGATATCTATGAATTAATGATAGAATTGATGTATGTAGAATGTCATTTCTCCCAGATTTAAAATATAATAATATGTATAATGTATTTTCATAAAACCTCGCAGCCTCATTAGACGAGAGCGCTCGAAAGACGAGAGGGTCACATGATCAGGTTCAGGGTGCTATCCGGTCTTGGTCGCTCGATTGTTAATACTTGAGGTCTGGCCAGGTTTTTCCTCCTCCTCCCTCCCGAAGGCTTTATTCCAGGCAATCCGCAGCCTTCACATATAATTGGGGCAAGCCTCAGCACATTGATCACAGGATATTGCAATTCTCTTTGGGTTTTTTTCCTCGTTGGTGACTACACCTCCTCTTACTGGGCCCTGCCTTTGATTTTCATAGTAGAATGAAACTCTCAGATCTACAATGAAAATAAGGGTTCCTGGTAACACTGTGGAGAAGAGCTGGGCAATCTTGCCACCAGGCTTACACACTAGGGGGCGCTTTTAGGGTACAGAGTACAGCCGTGGAGGTAATTCGTTTTCCATGCTGTGTTAATGATGTCAGGGCTTTTAAGAAATACCATAAAAGTTATTTCGATCTGGAGCAAATTTAAAAATTTGGTTTCGATGAAATTTGAGCAAAAGCAGTAGAATAATTTGAAATGTAAATTGCAGTTTTAATTAAATTGATTAATAGAAGCCCTGATTGAGTTATGTTTTGTATGGAATGGATAGATAACAAATTGAATTTTTACTTTTTCATGTTATAAGTACAAGTAGAGGGAAGGTGAGTTATAATGGTAAGACAGGGCATCTTATAATCAGAAACATCATTCATCCTCATCTTGGTCTGACTTCTGTATATGTGGTCATTAATTCTCTTGTCTTTGGTTTGAAGGACCTGAAGGACTACATGAGACAGGCAGGGGAAGTAACCTATGCTGATGCCCACAAAGAACACAAAAATGAAGGGTGAGAATTTATACAAAGTTTAAATTATTAATGAACAGTGAAAGGATTTGATATATATAGTTGGTTGCGCTGATTTGGTCTAGAAAATGATCTTTTTCTCTTAAAGTGGTAACAAGGTTTTCATTAAATTACAGTCATCCTATTATCATGTAATAGACTTAATTATAATTAAATATGGTTTAATTAATTATGATTAAATATGATTTTATGCGAACAGAATTGTGGAATTTTCCTCGTATTCTGACATGAAGAATGCTGTCAGTAAGCTGGACGGAACAGAAATCAACGGAAGAAAGATCAAGTTAATCGAGGACAAACCCAAACGCAGCAGCCGACGTAGAAGGTAGGGACTCAGAAATGCTAGTGATAAACATTGATGTTGTTTTGTATTTTAAAGTTTATTTAATTATTTGGTATAAATGTTTTGGAATTTCCTATGAATGTTCTTGAAGTATATTATTAGTACAGTCAAACCTTGTTATCTCGAACTCAATGAGACCTAGAAAAAACTTCGGGATATTAGAGCAATCGAGATATGCAAGGTAACATACATAAAGAATAAGGGGTTGGGACTTCGAAATCACTACAACATATCCATGGTATTTGAGATGTCTGTGTTCGAGACACTGACGTTCAACTGTATTTGTAGAATAACTGTTTACTGATATACATGTATTGGTATCTGCTGCTTGAGCCAAGTGCTTTTTGTGATTTTACACATATAATATGCATTTGCTGTGAGTAAATTATGCTGTATTTATTTTGCAGTCCCTCTGTGGCCTCTGACTTGATCTTTGACTCCAGTTCCAGTGATTGGTCATCTGTTTACTCATTTTTCAGTGAGTCTGAATGGTCTAGTACCACAACTGATCTGTCCAGAAGTCCCCACTCTTCAGTGGCTGACACTGACTCTATGGAGTCGTTTGATGTTTATTTTAGGTGAGGTTGTTCGTCAGATGCTGAGGAGTCCCATATTCCAGTTCACCATCCTTCCTCAGCAGAACCTAATCCTCAAGATAATCAAGGAATCATCCATCATATGTTGTAGATAAAACATCTTTTTGTAAATAATACCAGACTGCGTTAATATTAAATTTAATTGACAAGCATTTATCCTTTCAGTCCCAGCAGAAGTGCCTCCAGATCCAGGAGTAGATCAAGGTCACGACGAAGGTCAAGGTCAGCCAGTCGATCCAGGAGCCGCAGCAGAAGCCGTAGCAGTCGTAGCAAGTCAAAGTCTAAATCCAAGTCACCAGAGCGCAAGTCCAGGTCCAAATCACCCTCTAAGTCCAGATCTAGATCAAAGTCACCTTCAAAGTCCAAGTCCAGGTCCAGATCTCGCTCCAAAAGTCCAGGTGACAAAGAGGATAAGGATGAGAATTAGGGCTCAGGGAATTAAAACCAGAGGGACTCTCATCTTTATAACTTCATGTATCAAGAGTCTCCACAACAAGTTTCATAGAGCATTGTAGACTAATGTTTTAATGTACAAAGTTTGTTTATAGATATATGTACTTTGCACTTAAACCAACAGTACAGTAGGAAGGCTATAACAGACAGGTTTAGGTTTTTCTGAGGTCTCAGCTGATTTCTTTCCCAGGTCCATGGTATATTATTGTTTTTGATTCATTTTGAAAATCTTCATTATTTTTTATAATCACTTAGATTTCTTTATTCATTAAGTTCATCATTAATGCACAATATTTCACCAGTTTGGTACAATATTGGCCAATTTATTTAAATCTTCGTAGCATTTCAGCCCAGTTTGATGACGTATTGGCTTAATAACTATTCTCAACAGGTGTACAATTCTATTTAAATGCTGAATTTTATAGCAAAAATATGTGGCGAAGAATTAGACTTGTGACTTAATCATCTCTTAGTACTGTGTGTAGTAGTTTGTTCTGCATTGTAGTGATCTTTTTTGGTTTATAAACTATCATAAAATGAAAATTCATTATCAAACTATATTTTATGCATTTCTGGTATGATTTTCACCATGGAATATATGTACATTGTTAATATAAACTATTTTTTATTGCAACTTCTTCATTTTGGTACTTGTATATAATGCTCCAAGTATACTTCAGTGAAACTTAACAATTCAGTTTATCACATTTCTGCATAAATTTTGTTTTAATATACAATGTAATTAACAAGATTAATTTTATAATGTCTTTTCTCCAATTGATTAAATGGAACATCCTTTTCCTGTAATCAATGTTAATCTCACTTTTTGGGGGGTCACTTCTGGGGTATGTAGTGACCACACAATCTTAAACATCCAGTTATCTGCAAATGCAGCTTAAATAAGTATGTGAGCTGGCTTTTAATTGGAGTTTTGTAGGATGTTTTTCATCATTATTTTAAGTTTTTAACTAGTACACAACCATTATGCTTTGCTTTTGATGTTGCATTTCTAAAATTCACCAGATGGTTCATGTCTGTGATGTCCTACTAGTTCATATGATGTTGCTATAGCAATGTTATTTTTTTTAATACTTAAAATACATGGATTTCCTTTAAAGTTGACCTACAGTGTAGATTATTTTCAAACTAAGAATACCTTTGTCATAGAACATGAAAATGTATGTTGTGAATAAATTTTACAATGCTTTATGTTGATTTATATCTTGGTTGGAGTTTAAGTGTTTTTGCTACAAATTGCATCCCTTATGAGTTCAGGACCTGTAACATATTGCATGAAATTCAGATTGAAACTGCTGCAGATGATGGGGAACCAAGAGGAATTTAAATGTATACATGACAATTTTATGGTGCATCATAAATGAACGTCATCATAGCTGCTAAGCATTTTTGCAGAGGATATGTCTTTTCAAAATAACACAGTTAATTTGCAAAGAGGCATTTTATTTGGTAAATACACCTGCATTCACAGAGCACACTTGAGTATATACATGGTAGTGATTGGTATAAATAATAATAATCACAGCTATACACTGACAACCAGCTTCTATAATAACTGGAGAGGATAAATGATGCAACATTGGAATCACACCTGATTCTACGATGAGAGCTAATCACAGAGACTGGCCTTCTGTACAATATTAATACAGATCCATCATGATACAAATGTGTTTGTTTTCTGCTGACATGAGACTGAAAACTACGACTGTCAGTTTCAATTACTCTTTGTGAGACATGGTGTTCAGACATCAAAGTTGAGCCTAGCTTTAATTCTTACATGTTACAAACAATTCACAGTTCTAAATCAATTCTTCAAAGTGGCCTAGGTAATTCAAAATGTACTGTGATATTATTTTGGTTGTTTTTTGGATTGTTAAAAATTACATTGTTGAAACATCAATTAATGCAACTTAAATGTTTTGAACAAGTTCAATATTTTTTGAGGTTATGAATTTTTAGACTGGGGTACCTAAAAATCTATGAAAAAATGAACCTTATGAAATGATTTCCACAGTATTCCATTTGTAAAGCAACAGTACAAGAGTTCATATCTTCATAATTATTATGTACATCATATGTGACAAAGTGAATCTATTTAAACATATTATTTAAATGTTTATACGAGACATTAATATACATACATGTACACTTTACATGGACAAATACAGGGTTTACCAGAATACACTAACGTTGACTAGACCATTACAAAGTGGTAAACACGAACGAGGATATAAAAGTATACACATTATAACAACACTTACAAGCAAGAAATGTAGCTAGACAGTTTAAAATAGTCATGATTTGTGTGTGACCACACACAATGTACTGAACGATACAGTGTAAATACATGTAACAGTGTGAGAATGAGTGAGAGATGGTTGGTTACTCTCCCGATTAATTGAACAGCAATTATCGCACAGTTATTTACTCATACATGTAACTGATTTCATGCTTGAAATATGTGTATGTCGACTATATCTTTGATCTACTTGTATCAACACAAATTGCTATTTCTATTGTTCATATACAACAAAGGGTGCGCTTGATTTACTTACACCGCTTACACCTTTCTTAATCAAGTGCAGGGGTGTAGATTTTTGGTGTACACTCGGTGTACACTTTCTTACACCAAATTTAGGGCATGTGTTGAAAGGTGTATACTGAATCCAATATGGCGGAGAATGGTACAATTGAAAAATTTAAGAAATGGTTTTATGTAATATAAAGGATAAGAAATCACATTCAAGTTTTCTTTTGTATGTAAGTGATGACATTGAAATCATTTTTTGACCATTTTAAAATAATTTAGTCAATTATTAACGTTTTTTAATTTTTTTTTCACTTTAAACAAAAATTTTTAGCCACACACTGGCGAGATGCAAAACATATACTACACCATATACACTACACCTCGTAAAATGCACTTGATTATACACCATCATCTTTCACACCGGTGTACACTGGTGTTCACCAAGTTAAGCTAAATCAAGCACGCCCAAAATTAAATGATTTGACAAAATCAGACCCCTCATGAACAGTAAAACACACTTATAGCGAAGTGCCAAGGATGCACGATTTGGATTCACTATAAACATAATTTGTTATATCTGTTAAGTTCATCATATGTTTTAAAGCTACAGTGAATGAAAATCACATTGCTATAAGCATGAATTCGTTATAAGCATGTTTGTTTTAACTGTGCTTTACTGTATTTAAAGCAGTAGTTGGAACAGAAATAGTATCTGAATCAATGAGTATAAACTAATACTGTGTACCATCAAGGGACCTACATGTATTTTTGGACCAGATACAACTTTATTATTTACACATAATGTGCTACATGGTGTTGCATTAATGCATGGATTTCAGTTTTTTAAAACTAACATGCATCCATTCCTGTTAGCAATCATATGGTATTGAAAACCTCCACTCACACAAAAAACCAAAAATGCTCACTAGCTTCTGTATAAGTGCATTTGCTCAATATCTTGCCATAATTTGAAATAAAACTGTTTCACAAATAATGATTCTAAAACAGAACATTTTACAACTAAACATACTGTGAGCACTGAACTCACAAAATAATACTCACTGCTACGAGTATAATGGCAAAGTTCATCTTTTTGCTATGGGAAACCTCAAATATCTGTCAGATCAGAACATAAAATAGAAGGTGCACAATTGCACTAAGTAATAAAGATTCTGCAAAGGTCTTATTAAACTTTATAGTGGAGGAGTTGGGGATAAGAAAAAGGTAACCCCAATGTTGTAGAAAGAATGGCAGTGTCCATGTTTGGCTACGGGAACCCCCAAGTATCTGTCCAATCAAAACAAAAAATAGGAGTCAACAATGACACTACGTAATAAAGTTTCTGGGAAAGTCTAGTTAAATTTATTCAGTGGTGTTTGAGAAGTTGTGGGTAAGAGATGATTTTTTTTTTGTGCTCGGTACAGAGGGATGTACCAAAGGATGTAGAGACGGACATCCCATCACAATCTAACCCCTGCTTATCAAGCAGGGGGTATAATAAATAACCATATAAAAATCATTAAAAACAATTTTATACAATAATAAGCTTCATTCTGCTAATAAATAAATGGCACTCTCATTTGTTCAAAATAGCATATGCACGAAACATACCGATATATAAACGAGACAGTTCTTATCACAACACTACAATTTTTATGTATTTTCCTTTTTAAATTATTATAATCCACAACAAAATTCCTCACGAACAAAGCAAAAAACAAATTCAAAAATGTCTGTTTCCTAACTTCATGGTACAAATTGACACTGGTTAATTCATTTGGCTGAAATATTATTACAATATTCTAATAATTGATCACAATTTCTTGGAACCACAGAATGACTTACAGAGCTGAATTACACTGCTAGATTATTTCACATGCTTTAATGATAAAATAATACTGTCTAATATTTTCATCTGACAGGGACTAATTAAAGTGAACACACCATCCAATAAAAGATGACATTTCCCCCCTTAAATAACCTGGTGGATGTACGATTTGATTGAAAATTATAAGCACCTAAAACATCAAGTATTGTTGAAATAATATCTTTGGTGGCAATTATTTTATAAAAACAAATAAACTATTCAAAAACACATACCATATTACACATTGTACATTACTATTGCACTCTAACAATGTAAAATTGAATATAAAACTATTCATTAAGTAACATGCTACTTGTTTGTCATGGACACCAACAAAATAAAAGGCGATCAAGCAGCGATTGATAGTCCTGCATGTTGCTGCTAGAAACAGGACTTTCAGAAAAAAGTAGGAAAAATAGGCCCAGACTTTTGCAGGGGATTCTACTGGGGTCTCAAGTAGGACACAACACTGTCAAAGTGAAGAAAAATACAAGTTTATGATAATTATACCAAACAAACATTATACCAAACAAACATTATACCACGCAAGCATATTTCTAAAATCAAAATTGTGTCTTAGATAAATTATATGTTTGGTGTGATTACATGTAAATACAACTGAAAGTCAAACGTAACCTTTTATTTACAGAAACCAACTGTCAAGAAAGTCATGTAAAATTTTTGTGTGTTAATAAAAATTATAATATTTGATAGCTTCTACTACAGTAAAACATGCTTATAATGAAGTGCCAGGACAAGATTATTCTTCTTCATGATAAACATAATTAGTTTTATAATTTCACAATATATTTTTAAAGCCACAGGAAGTGAAAATCACTTCGCTGTATGTGTCAATTCATTAAAAGTGTTTTCGTTATAAGCGTGTTATACTGTATATTTGTACTGAATATATTACTAGGTATAGAATGCTTCCTGTACTGAACCTTTACCTTTAAGGATATAATCCGTCAGCAGGCCGGGAACTGTGGGACTATCCTCGTTAATCGCTTGTAAAACTGAAGAAAAATAATCAACCATATATACTGTCCATTTCTCAGTTACTGATTCAAATTTTCACAGATTTGTAAGCTCCTTAATATGCAATAAATGTATGAACTTAATGTGTATGTTTTAGGTTAGGACAGTAATTGGATCTTGTTGTGAACCTTTTGACTAGTTGTCATGTCAGTGAAAATTGTTAAACTTAATTTAGGTACAGATCTTTGGTTATAAAGGGACTTACTTCTAAGTAAATTTGTAATTGTGATTCTGAAAAAATAGTTATTTGTAGCTGTTCTGAGCTGAATGAGAGACATACTTATGACGTAGACATGTAGTTATTCTATAGATCTGTGTTATTGGTTTGGGTTATAGGCTAAACAATTTTTTTTTGATGTAGATCTGTAGTTGTTTTTTTCTTGGAGGGAGTCTTAATTTTGATGTAGATCTGTAGTTGTTTTGAAGTAGGAGACTTATTTTTGATGTAGATCTGTAGTTTTTTTGAGGTAGGAGACTTACTTTTGATGTAGATCTGTAGTTGTTTTGAAGAAGGAGACTTACTTTTGATGTAGATCTGTAGTTGTTTTGAAGTAGGAGACTTACTTTTGATGTAGATCTGTAGTTCTGTTGTTTTGAGGTAGGAGACTTAATTTTGATGTAGATCTGTAGGAGACTTACTTTTGATGTAGATCTGTAGTTGTTTTGAAGTAGGAGACTTACTTTTGATGTAGATCTGTAGTTGTTTTGAGGTAGGAGACTTACTTTTGATGTAGATCTGTAGTTGTTTTGAAGTAGGAGACTTACTTTTGATGTAGATCTGTAGGAGACTTACTTTTGATGTAGATCTGTAGGAGACTTACTTTTGATGTAGATCTGTAGGAGACTTACTTTTGATGTAGATCTGTAGTTGTTCTGAACTGGGTGGACCATCTATGGCATGGTAAGGAATTACAGTTGTCAGAAACTACAAAACAAGAACAGTCATATTAAGGCACCTGTCATCAAAACATATAATGGAAGCATTGTGAATCACTGATACCTTGAAAAGATAAGTGCAATGGTTGATACTAAACCAAATACATGTAATAAACAAGAAAACAATAAAATTCTTAAAGATAATTTCAAGTTGAATATCAATTTTTTTAACCCCCCTCCCCCCCCCCCCCCCCCCCCAAAAAAAAACCCCGAACCCACTGACCAATATAAGGTCAAAAACTTGGGTCAAATTCAGAAGTTTATACTGACATTTAAATAAGATTGATTTACTTTGACATAACAATCATAAACATCATTCAAACTCTAAAGCATCTTATAACCAGGAGTAAAGAAGATTTTAAAGGCTTTTATTAATTTTGATGGTTTTAGCCCCAGGACAACAAGATTCCAAATTTTTGTTTCCCTTCACCCATAGATGCTATATGCCAAAATTAACTGAAACTGGTTCAGTGGTTCCAGAGAAGAAGCTGAAAAATGTTCAAATGTTAACACAAGATGGGACAAAAACAGAAAACAGCAATACAAATGTTCATCTGAATGACTCAGTTGACCTAATTAAAGATAAAAAGCATAAAAAAAGCCATTTACACGAGAGCTAAATTTTGTTTACAAAATACAATGTCAAACGTTAAAGTAAACATCAGTTTCAAAGGTGGTATTGAAATGTCTTTTTTGATTAACATGCATGTATACATGAAGGAAGTTGATAAGCACAACATAATATAACTCAGCAGAGAGTCATATATAACATTTAAATAATTCTGTTGAGAAGTAAGGATGTGAAGATTTCATCAACCTGTAATTCAGCTCTAAATATTCCATACCATCTCAAGCCTTCAGGGCTGTTCTAACTCACAGTAATCCAGCTCTAAATATTACATACCGTGCTTGTGCCCTCAGGGCTGTTCTAAGTGTAATCCAGCTCTAAATATTACGTACCGTGCTTGTGCCCTCAGGGCTGTTCTAACTGTAATCCAGCTCTAGATATTACATACCGTGCTTGTGCCCTCAGGGCTGTTCTAACTGTAATCCAGCTCTAAATATTACGTACCGTGCTTGTGCCTTCAGGGCTGTTCTAACTGTAACCCAGCTCTAAATATTACGTACCGTGCTTGTGCCCTCAGGGCTGTTCTAAGTGTAATCCAGCTCTAAATATTACGTACCATGCTTGTGCCCTCAGGGCTGTTCTAACTGTAATCCAGCTCTAGATATTACATACCGTGCTTGTGCCCTCAGGGCTGTTCTAACTGTAATCCAGCTCTAAATATTACGTACCGTGCTTGTGCCTTCAGGGCTGTTCTAACTGTAACCCAGCTCTAAATATTACGTACCGTGCTTGTGCCCTCAGGGCTGTTCTAACTGTAATCCAGCTCTAAATATTACGTACCGTGCTTGTGCCCTCAGGGCTGTTCTAACTGTAATCCAGCTCTAAATATTACGTACCGTGCTTGTGCCCTCAGGGCTGTTCTAACCATAATCCAGCTCTAGATATTACGTACCGTGCTTGCGCCCTCAGGGCTGCTCATGTTGTTATTAACTCCTTTGCTCTTCTTTTTCTTTTTGTCCAAGTTTCCCTCGCGGCGACGCTTCTGTATGGTCAGCAGTAGAGATATAAACTGATTTTTGAGTTCTTTGTCATACTCCAACTCGTCTCTGAGAGCCAGTTCTCGGATCAGAACCTCCGACAGCTCTTTTATAATGACCTCATACTCATTGAGAACCTCATTAAGCTGGGTACAGTTCATCTCTTTCAGGTCTACAGAAAATAATGACAATAATTATCAAGTTTTATTTACAGGATTTTATTGGATCTTAATTGTCTGCAATATCTTATAACAATTTACAGGTATCTTCTCCTTTTCTCTTCCTGCCAGTTAGGATAATATACTGCAAGCAGATAAATCATTTACCATGTATTTACTGTTACAACTCATAAGCAGTAGACGTAAAACATGTTTACCTGTTTCCTGTTTTTCAGGTCTATTAAAATGTAACTATAGTAAAACAGAGTTCAAGAGACCACTGATCATAGAGAAGGGGTGTGCAATAACAAAAATTAGTTACTAGCCCGTCGGGCAGTGGCAGTAACAAAGTTACTAGCCCGAGGTTGAAATAAATAAAACAAATAATGGTTTGTGCTTTGTTATCGTCAGGTACTTCTCCCTATTTTTATCGACTATAATTGTCACTGAAACAACTGGCGATAGCAACACACAATACATATAGGTTAAAACGAATTAAAGGTTATGATTTACAACAAAGTTAATTCGTACCTCAATTCAGTCGACGTAAATTTGTTTGTTTGTTTGTTGTTTAATGTCTCTCTTGAGAATTTTTCACTCATATGGAGATGCCACCAGTTGCCGGTGGAGAGCTGCAAATTTTGACCTATGCTCAGCACTCCGGGCCATTGAGCAGTGAGGGATCTTTTTCGTGCCAGCACCTACTGCGACACGGGACCTCGGTTTATACGGTCTCATCCGAAGGACCAGTCTCCACGTCCCACAGTGGGATTCGAACCCGCGACGTAAGGATCAACTCCTTACTCTGCGACTCTAAAGCAGACACACTACCACTGCGCCATGCGGGTGCGAGACGTAAATATACGTATACTTTCGTTTTAGATTTGCTAGCCCAACGGGCTAACGCAGTAGAGATTTATGATAACCCGACCTCTTAAATTGGTAGCCCCGAGCGTCGGGCGATGTTATTGCACACCCCTGATAGAGTAATCTCTCAGAAGAGCTGCTTATTCTATTAATGAGACAAAGCCATTTTTAAAAACTACTATTATTTTCAATGCCTTTTTGATGTACAGGTAAACTTCGTTATCTCGACATCGACGGGACCATCGGAAAATGTCGAGATATCCGAGGTGTCAAGATATCAGAGTTGAGACTTGACGTCCAAGATTTCATTGCATAGCAAAACAGACAAGCTTATTATATGTACATGACTTTGATATAGACTGTAGCTCAACATATTTCAGAATTCCCTTTATTTTTATTAAAAATCTAAGAAGTTATTTTAAAAATCTTGTTTATAAAACGTATCGAAATCTTTCTAAATTCACAAAGTTACAGCATTGAGCTGCATTCGCGTGTAACTTGCCTTTTCGTCAGAGCAGGATACGAAATGCGCTCTATAAACTTCGAACCGTATTAAGTCGACATCCGATATACGGTAAAAAAAAAAATTAAATGCGGATTATTTTTTTTTCTTATTTCATTCAGGAAGAATGTACATCAGCCGCAATTCGTGCATCTGTAACATCACTACGTTAGTTTATTTTTTTAAAAGAGATTTGTTTATCTAAACTAACGTAGTGATGTTACAGATGCACGAATTACGGCTGATTCGGTCAATCGTGTCGTTAATTGGATTGTTTCCTGTTGAATACATTTTAACTACAAAATATCATTAAAACATTTTTTTAAATTCCTTAGTTTGAATTTTTCAGTGTATGTGTTATTCATTGTAATTAAGTTATCTTTTTCAAATTTAAAAGTTATGTTACGTTTCGATATAAATAACATTCTGTACATTTACGCAGAATCGTGTAGATTTAGCAATGATATTACCCAAGCTCAATTAACTTCTCAAAGACGCTGAAGTGGCTTGGGATTCACCAACAAACACAGTCCATAAAATTAATTAAGCAGCGTGCAGTCATAACATGGGTGTGAAAGGTGTGAAACTTTGACGACGTCGAGATACCCAGAGTCGTCCGTGCGTGACGAGAGACCCTATCTGACAAAGAGTTAGGTTCAGTAGAGCAGAAAATTGCCGATGTCGACATATGCCAGGTAAATTTTGCTCTTGGGACTGTGAATATACGTCGAGATAACCCGGGTTGTCGACATTACCGAGGTCGACATATCAGAGTTTTTGCAAATCATTTATATAGTAAATACTGCCGGGACCGCGGAAGGACGTCGACATATCCCAGGTTGTCGACATATCCGATGTCGAGATACCGAAGTTTACCTGTATTTGATGATACACTTTTACTTTCTCATTGCCATGGTTACCTGCTTCTGTATAGGAGGGAATCTGTGGAAGTTTCTCTTTTTCCAAGGCCATTTCATGATCAAGGTCATCTTGAGAGTACTCCGAGGGTTCATTTTCCTGAAAATGGTGAAGATAAATATGCAACTAACCACAATGTTCAAGAATATCTCTCCAATCACAGAAAGAAATTTTCTCTATAACTTGCTCTGCATAAGGTATACTTTATTTCTGAAATGCACATTGCAGGTCCTGGAATACTTACTTTAGTTGCTTAAACATGTATGGTGTAATTTCTTAAACTTGAAATGAAACACTCTGTATGAAGCTCCCATATACATGAATTTATAAAGAAAATAAAGTAAAAATGAAATAATTGAGCACTGATTTATTACCTGCATCATGTGTTCTATCTCATTGATGACCTCGTCAGCTGTGGCAACGTGGTCACTGTCGCTGGTCTGTAGACTGGACACAATCAACGAGTGCATGTCAAACTGCTGTGCCAGCTCCTCATCGTCTGAGAGGTCCAGATTGGGCGACTCCTGCTCCTGAAACATCACCGAGAAATTAACGTACCAATTACAGACCAGTTGATAACTTACTGGGGAATCAAGACATATCAGGTCATTGATTTTTGAACACCTTGTAAAGACTTAACAATTATATAACACTCAATAATTCCCACTGAACTGACTGACGCAAAGGTGGAATAAAAGATAATATGCTGTAATTAGGAGAGTAACATGTAGCTATGGCATTTAAAAGTCTATCCTGGAGGGGGCTTTTACATAAATGTGTGATGTCTCTATATAGAGAGAGAAACCATTTTATACCAAAGAAAAACGACCTTTAATGTAGAAATAGCAAGAAACATAATACATGTATATTCTTCATTCTTTTGGTTTTCTTATTGAAGAAATTCCTTTAGAATACATTGCACCATTACAATAATAGGAACCGAAAGAAAATGTATTCTATACCATTTTTAGCTCACCTGAGCTGAAAGCTCAAGTGAGCTTTTCTGATCACATTTTGTCCGTCGTCCGTCTGTCTGTCCATCTGTAAACTTTTCACATTTTCGACTTCTTCTCAAGAACCACTGGACCAATTTCAACCAAACTTGCCACAAAGTATCCTTGGGTGAAGGGGATTCAAGTTTGTTCAAATGAAGGGCCACGCCCTCTTTCAAGGGGAGATAATAAAGAATTAGTGAAAAATTAATAGCATCTTTTAAAAATCTTCTTCTCAAGAACCACAAGGTCAGGGAAGATGAAACTCATGTGGAAGCATCCTCAGGTAGTGTAGATTCAGATTTGTTCAAATCATGACCCCCGGGGGTAGGCGGGGCCACAATAGAGGATCAAAGTTTTACATAGAAATATATAGGAAAAAACCTTTAAAAATCTTCTTCTCAAGAACAGCAAAGCCATGATGAGTCATATTAATACGGAAGCATCCTCAGGTAGTGTATATTCAAGTTTGTTCAAATCAGGACCCCCGGGGGTAGGGCGGGGCCACTATGGAGGATCGAAGTTTTACATAGATAAATATAGGAAAAATCTTTAAAAATCTTCTTCTCAAGAACAGCAAAGCCATGATGAGTCATATTTATATAGAAACATCTTCAGGTAGTGTAGATTCAAGTTTGTTCAAATCAGGACCCCCCGGGGGTAGGGCGGGGCCACAATGAAGGATCAAAGTTTTACATAGAAATATATAGGAAAAAACCTTTAAAAATCTTCTTCTCAAGAACAGCAAAGCCATGATGAGTCATATTAATATGGAAGCATCCTCAGATAGTGTATATTCAAGTTTGTTCAAATCATGACCCCCGGGGGTAGGGCGGGGCCACTATGGAGGATCGAAGTTTTACATAGAAAAATATAGGAAAAATCTTTAAAAATCTTCTTCTCAAGAACAGCAAAGCCATGATGAGACATACATTTATATAGAAGCATCCTCAGGTAGTGTATATTCAAGTTTGTTCAAATCAGGACCCCCGGGGGTAGGGCGGGGCCACAATAAAGGATCAAAGTTATACATAGAAATATATAGGAAAAACCTTTAAAAATCTTCTTCTCAAGAACAGCAAAGCCATGATGAGTCATATTAATATGGAAGCATCCTCAGGTAGTGTATATTCAAGTTTGTTCAAATCAGGACCCCCCGGGGGTAGGGCGGGGCCACTATGGAGGATCGAAGTTTTACATAGAAATATATAGGAAAATATTTTAAAATCTTCTTCTCAAGAACAGCAAAGTCCTGATTGATCATATTTATGTGGAAGCATCCTCAGGTAGTGAAGATTCTATTTTGTTCAAATCATGACCACCGGAGGTAGGGTGGGGCCACAATGTAGGATCAAAGTCTTAAATAGAAATATATAGGAAAATATCTTCTTCTGTAGAACTGCACCCCAGGGATAGGGTTGGACCACAATGGGGGATCGAAAATTTCCTATAGGAACATATAGGAAAATATCTTCTTCTCAAGAACTGAAAATCATGTTTAGTCATTTTGATATGGAAGCATCCTCAGGTAGTGTAAATTCAATTTTGTTCAAATGATGACCCCCGGGGGTAGGATGGGGCCCAATGGGGGATTGAAAGTTTTACATAAGAACATATAGAAAAAAATATTTCTTCTCAAGAACAGACAACCCCCCCCCCCTTTAATCTTTTCAATACTGAACTGATTTGTGCTTTTGCCTAGCCAATGTGCTCAGGTGAGCGATGTGGCCCATGGGCCTCTTGTTAGTATCTATATTCCTTTTTATAACAAGAATTTGAGCGAGTATAATTGGGTGATTTTCTGAATTGAATTTTAGCATAAATGTGCAGAGTGAACAATTTTAACAAATGTTCCATGTGCTACCTGGAATACTGTTTGAACCCTAGATGATAAACAAGAGGCCCAAGGGCCTTAACAATCACCTGAGTATAATACAACACTGTAAAGGATAAATAGAAGTATAAAATAAAACAAAAATAAACTGATAGATGAAGCCATGTCACCCAAGAGCAAAAGAAAGATGACCAGGGATCAACAAAATAATTTGTCTAGTACTCAGTAACAAATCTTCAAGTAGATCTATTTACTTGCCTGTACTTGCCTACTGTGGCCCCATCCTAGTTCTGGGGGTCATGATTTGAACAAACTTGAATCTACACTAGGTAATGGAGCTTTCATATAAGTTTTATTTTTTCTGGTGCAGTGGTTATTGTGAAGAAGATTTTAAAATGCTGCTTTAAAATTTTCACTAATTCTAAATTATCCCTTTGAAAGAGGACAAGGCCCTTCATTTGAACAAACTTGAATCCCCTTCACCTAAGGAAGCTCTGTACTAAATTTGGTTGAAACTGGAAAGTGGTTTGGAGAAGAAGATGAAACTGTAAAAAGTTAATGACAACAACAACAACGACAGACAATGGACAAGTTTTGATTAGAAAAGCTCACTTGAGCCTTTGGCTCAGGTGAGCTAATATGTACTAAACAATCTCAACAATGAATGCTTTATGATCTTAGCTTTCATGATGTTTTCTATTTTTAGATTGTGGTTTCAAATATGACTTAAAGCTCAATGACAGGCAAACACTGTGAAATATTGACTTTTCACCAAAGAATACATGATGAGATTACATATGACTGACCCTTTTATACCCTGCAAGTTTATACAATTTACATGTACACAGCGGAATTAACAGAGGTAGAAATATCAAGTAATTAACAGTGGTAGAAACATCAAATAATTAACAGTGGTAGAAATAACAAGTAATTAACAGAGGTAGAAATATCAATTAACAGAGTAGTAGAATTAATGAGTAATTAACAGAAAACAGACTGTTAGAAGTTATAAGTAATTAACAGAGTCATGGAAATAACAAGTAATTAACAGAGTGGTAAAAGTAACTAACAATTAAAAAAGTGGTAGAAGTAGCAAGTAATTAATAGAGTGGTAGAAATTGCAAGTAATTAAAAGGATGGGGGAAGTAACAAGTAATAAAAAGAGTGGTAGAAGTAACAAGTAATTAACAGTGGAAGAAATAACAAGTAATTAAAAGACTGCTAGAAGTGACAAGTAATTAAAAGAGTGTTAAGAGTAACAAGTAATTAAAAGAGTGGTAATTTAAACAATAAAAAAAACAGAGTAGCAGAAGGAACAAGTAATTAACAAAGTGTAAAAGTCAACTAACTTGTAAAAGTTACAAGTTGTATTAATTTAGAACAACTTACCTGGTCTTCTTTGAGGTTGAGTACTTTGGATTGCAGTTGTCTTGCATAGCTCTTGGACCAATCAATAGGAAGGATGTTACCAAAGTTACCTGTTATGGTCCACCACATTCTAAAAATATATTGCTCTTTGTTAAATCAGCTTGTTTGTTTTGGTTCAGATATTTTTTGAATATATTGGCATATTTTGTTTGTGTGTAAAGCAGGCTTTTCTATTTTGTCTGATAGGTCTAGCACAGTATATGTGTGAGTTTTTTTGACAAAAAAAAACATTTCCTTTTTCTGAGGAGAAAGCTATATATGTAATTGCCTTGCCTATGCCTTTACAAGAAAATAATCTATTAATAAAATGTGAAACACTGAGCTCTTACTGAGTACCACTGAAACTGTAATTTTCACTTCAAGCCATAAACCAATGTGCCATGGTCCACACTAATCCACTTATGTGTGATACTGCACATAAATATGTATGATAAAATTGTAGATTGTATCCTCTACCATAACACACCAACTCTAATCTACCATAATACACCAACTCTAATTTACCATAATACACCAACCCTAATCTACCATAATACACCACCTCTAATCTACCATAATACACCAACCCTAATCTCCTATGTGGGTCTTCTATCATAATACACCAACCCTAATCTCTCTGGTGGGTCTTCTATCATAATACACCAACCCTAATCTCCTATGTGGGTCTTCTATCATAATACACCAACCCTAATCTCTTTGGTGGGTCTTGTATCATAATACACCAACCCTTATCTCTTATGTGGGTCTTCTACCATAATACACCAACCCTAATCTCTTAGGTGGGTCTTCTACCATAAAACACCAATCCTTATCTCCCTGGTGGGTCTTGTATCATAATACACCAACCCTAATCTCTTATGTGGGTCATCTACCATACCAACGCTAATCTCTTGGGTGGGTTTTCTTACTTTCTAATATAATACATCAACCCTAATCTCTCAGGTGGGTCTTCTATCATAATACATCAACCCTAATCTCTCGAGTGGGTCTTCTAATCATAATACATCAACCCTAATCTCTTAGGTGGGTGTGAAAGTATCCCTTATTAGTGGAATAGTGGAATAGTGGTTGAGGACTAACACTAATTTCTTCAGTGGATGCAAGACTAACACTAATCAGTGGAATAGTGTTTGGAGTCCGAGACTAACCCTAATCTCTCAAGAGGGTGCTAGAATAATCCTTGTCAGTCAAATATAGTGTGCAAGGACTAATTATAATCTTGCGGGTGGGTGCGAGACTAACCCTAATCAGTTAAATGGTGTACGAGGACTAACCTCATATCGCCCTCTAATGTGAGAAATAATCCAAATGAGCTAATACAGGGAATCTGCATTCGTGGCTTACAGTAAAAGAAAAGGATGGAAGACTTAAGAGAAATGCAGATGGAGAAAGAAAAAAAGGTCAATCCTGACCTTTTAGCTTTTTGCCTTAAAAAGGGGTCTTTTTTTAAGTGAAATTCATGACCTTAAGTTTCATTGCAAAAGCTAACAAAGAACTTAAGTTATCATCTGAAAACTATGAATGCAATATATGAATTTCTGACCTTGGTCTTTGACCTTTTGACCTCAAAGTCAATAGATTTTTAAAAAAAATTATATTGACTAATGGTATGAAATTTCATCGCAAAACTTCAACAAAAAAAAACTAAAGTTATCATGAGGAAACCATTTTATGCAAGTTATGAATTTTTGACCCCAAAATCAGAGGGGGTCGGTCTTTAAAACATTGACATTTATGATGTAAAATTTCATGGAAAAAGCTTGAAGAAAATGAAGTTAACATCTGGAAACCATTTTTGTAATTTAAGAATTTCTGACCTTGACCTTTTGACCTCAAAATCAATAGGGGTCTTCTTTAGGCCATAGGAAGTTGTGATATAAAATTCTATTGCAAAAGTTCAAAGGCTTTTTGAGATAACATCCAGAAACAAAAGTGTTACACACAGACAGAATGACAGAGAGATGGATGGACAGATGGACCCAAATTAATATCACCCACTTTTAGTGAGAGTGTGAGACAATCAGTCAAAAAGTACATGAGGACTAACCCTAAGTTGCTGAAAGCCAGATCACAACGTAAGGATTGACATCAGAATATTGTGACATCATATATGCCCCCCCTTCCCACCAGCACCATCAGACTTTGGTTGACATGTGAGAAGCTATTGTCATCTTTACATTGTTTTCACTACATATCAAAGAAATCTACCTGAATACATTCCTATATGCATCATCCAGACAATGGTCAAGGTCAGGCTTATAATTAAATGGCAGTTAAATTCCATCTACAGCTAATCTCAACAAGTCTTTATTTCTTCTTAATACAGTCAAACCTCATTATCTCGAACTCAATGGGGCTGAGAAAAAAAACTTCAAGGTATCCGAGGATTCGAGATATCCAGATTAAAATACTTAAAGAATCAGGTCTTGGGACTTCCAAATCACTTCGACATATCCACGGTATTAGAGATCCCAGCTGATCAGTACCGAAATTCAACTGTACTTATTGAGACTGCAGAAAAATAAAAGCTTATATCCAATGGCTAGCAGTTAGCAATTTTGGCATAGTTTACTGAATTGGGTCAAAATAGCCATTTTCATTTCTAAATTTTTTTCCCCCCAAAGCTGAGATTAATCTCTATATTCTGTGACAGGATATCCCGATTTTCCGAGACCATGTATTGATTGTTTCTGTATACACACACTAAGTTCTCCGTGTAATATTGACAATAACTCAGTCTCCTAATGGATCTGATAAAATTCATAATTCTCTCCAGCCCACCACTGAAAGTAGAGAACCTTTCCAATAAATACAGAACTGTGATAAACTTTGATTAGAAATAGAGCTGTCCCAGCACACCTAAATATACAATATGTTGTGCTACATCATGTATAAACTTATTCTAGTATACCTACAAAAATGTTTGAATTCATGAACACATGGACAGCTATGACATATTCCCAGTTACAGTAATGAATTTGGACTCTTTCAGTAAATACCTATGTATAGCTATTGGTTAATGAGCCATCTTGTTGTTACTGATGTGTCAAGCTTTAAAAACATTTTGACAGATAACAACTTTACATATCACTGCCATGCACCTAACAGATTTCAATGCACCACACTAAATAATGATTTAAATGACTGTCTTTAAGTAATTTTGAAAGGGGTATTTGGTAAGCTCTGTCCTCAAATGATTATCAGTCCAGTTGATCTCTGACGGGATTTGCCGTTCTGAATCAATAACAGCATTTCTCCCGAGTTCCTGACTCCTGTGCCCTTACTAAGCATACTAGAAGTACATATTGATTTGTCAACAGCATGTAACAGTTCCCTCAATTAAGACATCTATTATAGTTAAAATGACTTCACATGTACCAAATGGGTGAAATCATTACAATTTAGAAAACAAAATCTGTTTAGCCCTGATCAGCATTGCTTATAAACCGTGACTCACTATTGATTCAGGTGAATCATCAATACAATTGCTGCATCATGATCACTTGTTTTACTGTTCTTTAGAGTTAATAAAGAATACTTCAGTTTGAAATACTGATACCTATAAATATATCTATAAATAAAAAATTAAAAATATACATATGTTTATTAACCCTGGGCCAAAATCACACCATCAATTTTTTCAAAAAAAATTCTTTGTCATAATCCTATTAAATTCTACACTGCAAGTCTGCACTTGCATAATCCTCAACCACCCCCCCCCCCCTCAAAAAAAAAAAATACAAACAACAAAATTTCACTAAATCACCATAATTCAAGTGTGATTCTTTTGACATTTTAAAATTCATTTTACAAACTATGAAAGCACCTTTTCACTAGAGAAAATGTCACATCTCTACAAACTCTGAACTGGTAGCTTAGGTTACATTTAATTTTAATATATAGTACAGTCAAACCTCACTATCTCAAACTTGATGGGACCGAGAAAAAATTTGAGATATTCGAGGATTCAAGATATCAAGGTTAAAAAAAATAAAGAAAACAAGGTAAGGACTCCCAACTTGCTTTGACATATCAATGGTATTTGAGATATCAATATGTCGAAGTTCAAGTGTATATGCTTCTTAATTAATTTTCAGTTTTAAGATATATATCATTCTGATATGTTTTAAGTAAATACTGAAAATTTACAGTAAGAAAACTTTGCACACTGTAACTCTATGAAAACCATTCACAAACCCCTTCTATGATATCTTGTCCGGGAAATTTCATACATTCCGAGTCAGACATGAGGGTTAAATCTAAAACCATTTTGTGGCAAGTACATGGTTTAAATAACTCATGATGCAAAAAAAAAAAAAAAAAAAAAAAAAAAAAAAAAAAAAAAATAGAAAGAAAATACATGACTAAGTAAGGACCCTAAATCTACATGACTGAATCAAGAAAATATCAAAAGGATAGTTGAAGTCCAATTAGTAATTTAAATAATTAGATGCTTTGATATGGAAAATCATTGCTGCAAGAGGTGCTAGGTTCTGATCAGGTCAAACAGTTTACTTTGTTTCGCTGGTGACCACCTACCACTGTTGACTTGCCATTTTGACAAGTAGGAAAACTAAGCCAGAAGTCAAAGGAAGTTAAACTCCTACAAACTTGTTTTTTCCAGAATTTAAATATGTGCACCATAATACTCATATAGAATAAAATCTGATCAATAGACGCTTCATATAAAATGAAGAATAAACATGTATATTAAAGTTTTGAACTAGATTGACATTAAAGCAACCTAAGATATCATTTTTCATGCGAAAATTGTGAGTAATGATCAAGAGCTAGTTTTGAATTCTGCTTACTACTATCAACAATTTGATTTAGATATATAAACACTAAACAGTTGGATGTAGAAATTACTCTGTGTGATCTGAACATTAGCTGCAGATCTTTAGGTTGCTGGTCTGAAAAAAAATGGAATGAATGACCAGAGAGATCCATCCACTGAAAAAAAGTACATTTATTGTGCACAAATCTTGCTTTAAAAATCTCTATATATTTTAGCTACCATCTCAAAGTCAAAATATTACTGTGTGTTCTTAACATATTCATTTACTACTTCCACAAAAAAACATTCCCTTAAACCATTTTAACAGCCTTCCTGGGCTTAGAATTGACACCATCAAAAATTTTGACTATTTATACTGCCATTTTGGCTGTATGACAAATTCTGCGCAGTCCAACATGCTTCATACACCATTTGTTTATACAATGTAACTTAACCCAATGTTATCTTTTGAGTCCTTAGACCTGATTTTTTCTCCCTTTGACATTGTAAGACATCTTAAGTTTATAATTTTGTACCAAATGTAAATTATCTACCTGATATATTTAATGATTTATGAGGCATTTGAATGCTTCAAGTCGCACTGATCCAATTTTTGCACAACCGTGTACACATCGCTTTATTCTGATTTATAAGTAGTAAAACATATTTTCTTTACACTTAATCAAATTAAAATAATAAGATTTGGATAATAAAAACTAAATGTTTTGCATTAGAGATAAAAAGTTAAATTGGTATATGTCTAATGTCTTCTTCAATTTCAACTTGTAAAACAATAGTTGGTCAAATTATTTTGCCAACCAAAATGGTAAAAAGGCCCGCAGTGGAGCATAAAGATGAATAATGTCCGAAATCATAGTTATAAATAACAATAAACAGAACAAAACAAACAATTGTATAATAAACAGAGAGTTATCTACCAACTGTTAGGATGCATACAAATAGTATATATATATAATGACTGTAATATGCCTAAAATGGTTTTGGGAAGTGTTTAGTTGTGGAAGTATTAAGAAACATGGTTAGTAATATTTTGTGATGGCAGCTTACACATACAAAGATATAAATTGAGAAACAAGAACTTTTTGTGTGCAATAAATACATAATGGATAGATCTGTAGCTCTCTGGTCGTCCATCTGAATTTTTTTTCAGACCAGCGAGCTATGAACAGATCTACAGCTATCCTAATGCCTGGTAATTTTGCAGTCCCCCCTCACTCCTCTCCCCGAAACTGATCTGATGTACATCTATATTGAAAAAAAAACAAAACAAAACAAAAACAAGCTATTCCTGAAGCCATACCTCAAAACTGTATAATTCGATCTTAAAGTGAATAAAATATTCATCATGATCAATGAATCATGTTTGCTCGACACTCTAAAAGAGATTCAGCTTACAAATGTCTTAACAGCCAGCTGATATAAACCCCGACAAACCCCAAACATGTGAAGAATATGATATTCTACCACAATTGGCCCTTCATCACTTTGTCACATATACCCTACCAACACGGGAAAAACAAAAAAAAATCTTTGATCCTCTCCTGTGACTATATAGATGTTAATAAATAAAATAATGGCAATAATTACTCACTGACAATCATTAATTATCTCCTCTTGGCTTCGTATCTGTACAGGGGCTATTTTATCATTAACATTTTCCTCAAAATTGCAGAAACACTTCGTAATTTTTTCGTCAAAAGAGTTCACGAGATCCTCTAACGAACCAGAATAAGGCTCTGTAAAGTGTTCACTGTCCTCATGCTCGGTCGCTTCACTCGTTTGATGAGTTTCAGTTTCTTTTAAAATATTTTCTACCGCTATAGCTTCCTGAAATTCACTGTATTCATTCCATTCCTCGTTTTCAAACTTGGCTAGCGGTGCCTCAAACTGAAGCTCCGCCATATTCGAGGAGTAAATGACCTTAACCTTTCAGGTGCCCGTTATCGGAATACCTCTAGAAGTTTCACGCATCGTAATGCAATCCTTGCGGAACTCGTTTGGCAATTTCCTTCTAACAACAAACGTTGCTGATGCTGGGAAGAAGGGGGAGTACCGTAAGTGTTGGATTTTTTTTTTTATTTTTCTTTGTTGTAAAATTCCTCTACGTTTAGAATTCACACAATACAGTTTTTTGCTGGAGTGGACCTACCTCTTGGTTTCATATATTTCCCTCATTAATCATATTGATTTCATATTCTGAAACTTAACAGCTTGAAGGTTTTTATGTTTGAAGGAATGTGTGTCAAAAGGTAAAAATAAACCTTAACTCTTTGAATCTGAAGAATTTTATTACACCATATGACACCAAAATGTATGAACTGAATGAAATTCACTAAATGCAATATCATTGACTTACAGGTGTATATCATGTATATAGTGAAGAAAAGTATATATAGCTCATAAACAATCGTTAAATTAATAATTATAGTACGTTAATGAACAGACTGAATGCTCATCCAGTATAAGAATTCAAAATTGTTGAAATCTTGCAAGTATGACAGTTCAATTTAAAAAACATAGGTATAATCAAAGATTACAAAGCTCACCTGGACGAATGCTATCTATATTAGTATCTAATGGCAAGTCTCGTATCATGATAACTTTTTTTTCTGGTTAATGTGCATCTCAAGATCAATATCCATACAAATTTGGTTTAAGTAGGACTTATAGTTACTTAGGAATAATTTTAACCTGTTTACTTAATCAAGAAAATTTCTGTCAATTTTAACATCCAAAGTAAGCCTGGAAGCGCATGTCCATCCTTACATGCATCTTTCATGCAAGATTAATCATAACAGGCCATAAAATTAAAGAGCTACTCCAATAACAATACCCTTGTCACTCATCTGGAAAATGTAGGTCAGATTCAGAATCCAAAGCAAGTCTGGAAGTGTCCATTCCTAGATACATCATGCATACATGCTAATTTAGTAAAAAAAAAAAAAAAATACGGATAAAATTCACTCATGTTAAAAATGAAGGTCAGACCCAGTATCTGAAGCAGGTTGGGTAGTGTACATACCTCGATGCATCATCCATGCAAATTTGGTTGAGGTAGGATTTATAGTTACAGTTGAACTTCGGTATCTCGAACACGGATATCTCGAATACCATGAATATGTCAAATCGTTTTGAAGTCCCAACTGCTTTTTCCTTAAGTATTATACCCTGGATATCTCGAATCCTTGGATATCTCAAAGTATTTTCTCGGTCCCTTTGAGTTCGAGATAACAAGGTTTAAATGTACTTGGGAATGGACCTGCTCGAAGTCGAGATGAGCTAATGCTATACTCCCAGCATCACTACTGCCATCAGCGTTAGCATCAATGTCCTGATTAAGGTTTTAGGAGCAAGTCCATTCCCAAGTAACTTTAAGCCCTACCTGGACCAAACTTGCATGGATGATGCATCTAGGGATGGACACTACCACACTTGCTTCGGATGCTGGATCTGACCTACATTTTCCAGATGAGTGACCAGGTTAAATTTTTTGGAGCAGGTCCATTTCCAAATGACTATAAGCCCTAGCTGGACCAAACTTGGATGATGCATCTAGGGATGGACACTACCACACTTGCTTCGGATGCTGGATCTGACCTACATTTTTCACATGAGTGACGAGGTTAAGTTTTTGGAGCATGTCCATTTCCAAATAACTATAAGCCCTAGCTGGACCAAACTTGCATGGATGATGCATCTAGGGATGGACACTAACCAACCTGCTTCAGATGGTAGATCTGACCTAGATTTTCCACACTAGCTAATTTTAGCCATATTTTAACCAAATTAGCATGGATGATGTATATATCCAGGGATGGACATTTCCAGACTTGCTTTGGATTTGGAATCTGACCTACATTTTCCAAATGAGTGACCAGGGTAATACTTTTGGAGTAACCTGTTATTATTAAACTTGCATAGATGGTGTATCTAAGGATGAAAACACCAAATTTATTTTGGATGTTGGAACTGACAAAATTTTTCTTGATTAGTAAACAGGTTAAAAGTTTTTTGAGCAGGTCCATTTCAAAGTAACTATAAGTCTTACATTAACCAAACTTGCATGGATATTGATCTTGGGATGTACACTAACTAGATAAAAAATATGATGTGAGATTTGCCTTACTTATAGATCTATATCATTCATCGAGGTGAGCTTTGTAATCTTTGATTACCTATGTTTAGGTTATTTAAAAATGTCAGTAGTGGCTCTGCCTATACAGTTGAGCTGTTTTTATTCACAGGAAAACATTACATGTATTTGTCATCAACATTTCCAAATTTTGCCAATTTTTTTTTTAAATTAAAAGGGAACAGGACCCTTTACCAAAAAGATCAATTAAACCCTGTATATTTTTCTCCAAAATAAAAAGCTTCAGCATGTGCCAAGGAAGGAATCCACCCTTCACTTAATTTCTGTAAGGAGAGTCATACATGTCAGTCTTAGAAATGCATATGTTTTTTTGTTTTTTTTGTTTTTATAAAATAATTATGATGAATGTGCAGAATAAACTATTAATATGATTTTTTTGTTTATGAAAAGGGAGAGTGCTCACTCATAAAGCATCCCTTTGTTACCATGGTGACGGGGGAATGACAATGTTCCGAGTGAGCCACATCTCTGTGAGTCGGAGGCAGCAATGGTCGTCTACCCACCACGCCTTCTTTGGTACCGTCCAGCCCCGAGGGAAGCAGCCATGCTTTAGGGGGCTCTTTCTGGGGGTCATAGCAGGGATCCTGTTGACCATTGGAATAATGTTAACCTGGATAGGTAATTTTATTGTAAATGTATGTTTCATCTACAAATCTAGCATTCTGTATCATGTGTTCATGAACATGGATAAACTGGTTTACAAAAACCTGTATCTAAGAAATTAAAATTTTGCAACTAAATGAAAACTTAATTTAGTTCATGTGTCCTTTACCTTTAGATTTTAGAATAGAGTAATTATGATTAGGTTTCTTTGATTTACTGAGATGTGTGATTCTAATTCTCTGCAGCTGGATTAAGTGGTATTGTTGAAGCAGGACCCATCTTGATTGGTTTTTCTCTCATAGTGTTCCTTGTCGCTTCATGTCAATTCTTACAAGCCAGAAAAGAGCAGCTTCTGGAGAGACAGGCTGAGGAGGTAAGAACATATGTACAAATAGGTCAACTCAGGAGGCTGAGGAGGTAAGAACATATGTACAAATAGGTCAACTCAGGAGGCTGAGGAGGTAAGTACAAATAGGTCAACTCAGGAGGCTGTACAAATAGGTCAACTCAGGAGGCTGAGGAGGTATGTACAAATGGGTCAACTCAGGAGACTGAGGAGATAAGTACAGATAGGTCAACTCAGGAGGCTGAGGAGATAAGTACAGATAGGTCAACTAAGGAGGCTGAGGAGATAAGTACAAATAGGTCAACTCAGGAGGCTGAGGAGATAAGTACAAATAGGTCAACTCAGGAGGCTGAGGAGATAAGTACAAATAGGTCAACTCAGGAGGCTGAGGAGATAAGTACAAATAGGTCAACTTAGGAGGCTGATGAGATAAGTACAGATAGGTCAACTCAGGAAGTACAAATAGGTCAACTCAGGAGGCTGATAAGTACAGATAGGTCAACTCAGGAGGCTGAGGAGGTAAGTGCAAATATGTCAGTACAGGAGGCTGAGGAGATAAGTACAAATAGGTCAACTCAGGAGGAGGCTAGGGAGGTAAGTACAAATTGGTCAACTGAGGAAGCGGCTGGGGAGTAAGTACAGATTGGTAGACTCAGGAGGCTGAGAAGGTAAGTACAAATAGGTCAATTCAGGAAGATAAGAAGGTAAGTACAAGTAAGTCAAATCAGGAGGCTGTGTAGGTAGGGCTGGGTATTGGCTGGAATTTCGTATTGCAATGTTTTTAACTGTATTGTGATATGTATTGCAATATTTTCAATGACAGTTAAAATGCTCTTTTTATTATTTATTTACCTCCATCTTTAAGCAACGTGTGTAAAACAATTATAATTAAATTGTTGCAAATTTTTTTTGTTAATTTCACTACAGTTTTTGAATGAAATGCAACCATACAACAGCAACCTAACCGTTTGGTACTGAGTGGAAAGATTGAATGTTTCTGACATATTAAATTTAATTTTTACTTAAGAAATCTAAAACCCAAGCAGTTTGCTGGGTTATCAGTACTTGGAAAAACGTATTGCAATACGATATTTTTCTTAATGAATTGCAAGAAAAAGGATAGTCTATGAATTAAAACTTTAAAGCAATTACAGGCTTATTCTTAAATACATGTTTGGTGTAGACATTTTTCATATGTTCTAAAGAGAAAGAAATTTTGAATATGATTTCTATTCTACAGCAGAGAAGACAAGCTTTAGCCACAATGGCAGTAAATCAAGACGGAGAAGATCCCCCCGAGACTGTCATCATCGAGGCCCTTACTCCAAGTGAAATGTACAGGTAAGAGTAAAATGTACAGTTAAACAATGAAATGTACAAGTAACACTGAAATGCACAGGCAAAATTTACAAACAGCAGTGAAATGTACAGATAACAGAAATGAGAAATGCACAGGTAACAGAAATGTATAGGTAACAAATATTCAGGTAACAAGGAAATGTACAAGTAACAAGGAAACGTACAGGTAACAGTGAATTGAACAGGTAATGAATATACAGGTACAGGTAAAATTTAAAATTTACTGGTTAAAGGAAAATTTACAAGCAACAATGAAATGTACAGATAACAAGAAAATGTACAAGTAACAAGGAAATGAAAGAGTAACAAATGCAGAAGTAACAAATATACAGGTAACAAATTTACAGGTAACTAGAAAATGTACAAATTACAAATGTACAGGTATAATGTGAAAATGTACATGTAACAAATTTACAGATTACAAGGAGATGTAAAAGTAACAGTGAATTGAACAGGTAATAAATAGAACAGTGAAATGTACTAGTAACAAGAAAATGTACAGCAAATATTTGTACTAGTAGCATTAAAAATTACAGCTGACAATGTACAATTAAAAAATGTACAGGTAATAACATTGTTGCAAGCCATTTTTTGTGTCCATTCTGCTTGTGGAAAAAGAATGGACACAGAACCTGAGCTTGCAAAGACGAGGTAATTACCATATATACTCATCTATAAGTCAGTCGGCCTATAAGTCGGTTGTATTTTTTGAGGTAATTTTGGTAGGATTTGCCATTGACCCACTTATAAGTCGGTACAAATTTTTGCCGGAATTGGTTGACAATTTCAAATCAATGCTCTGATGTTTTAACCTGGTTTTAATTAATATTTTTTAGAAATGACGCCAATATTTAATTCTAAGTCATTAAAAAATAAAGAATTCACACTTAAGGTAAAAATGAACTACAATACCATAAACTAAAATATGTAAAAACTTGTACTTTATGTATAATCTTAGCATACATAAATGATATACTATATCCAGAATTTATTCAACAATAATCGTCAAAAATGTTTATAAAATACTACATTTGGTTGTCCAGAAAAATGCCATTTTTTCAATGACTCGCCTATAAGTCAGATATAGAGTTTGGGACCAATATTCAACTCCCAAAAAAACGACTTATGGGCGAGTCTATACGGTAATGCACAGGTAACTTAGAAATGTATTTGTAAAGGAGATACACGTAGTTACGGTTAACTATTAATTATTATCTACTAATTTGAGCTGTGTCAAGAAGTACATTTGTTGATCAAGTTTATATAATTTTGAATTAATGCATGTACATGTGATTTCGTAGTTAAAAATTTTTCTTTTGTTAAGTTATTCACATAGCATAAATTATATTTTGTATCAAATTTCATGTATAAAAAGCTTTCTCCAGAATGTAAGAGAGACTCAACCACAGGATGTATATAAAGTGTAGGGATTTCCATTTGGAGTGATATACAGGCAACAAATTCAAAGAGCTGTGCATAATAGAATGGCACAAAAGCCATAAAACACATACCCTCATGACCATCTTCAAAAAATATCAAAGTCTTGTGATATCATTCCTTTCCAAAATTGTGTAGAGGAATGATATTATAAAAAAAAAATTAACCTTGCAAAGATGACTTGCCCTATAATAATACATATTGTTTGTTCTTTCTTATGTTGAAAAGGTTAAATATGAATGAAAATATAAATGTATTCTGCTTGAGGAGAAACTTATATTTACTTGCAGCAGCACTGATAACAATGCCCCACCAAGCTACATGGAGGCCACCGAATCTGATCTGAACCACTCAGTTCTTCTGCCTGAGGAAGTGAATGAGCAGATAGAAGACCCACCTTCTTACGCAGAGGCAATGAGCACTTCCTGTGTAGAGATCTGTCCAAGGGGGACAACTCCAGCCAGTGTGTGCTGGATCCCTCCTTACTATCCACATTTATCTCCCCCTGAACATTGTTATTCAAGTCTCAGTGGACCTCCTATAATGATGACATCATTAGACGGAGAAGACATGGCGGACACTGAGGCTCCAGTAATTATGACATCATTAGATCGTGAAGGAACAGAGAACAATGAATCTCCGATAATTATGACATCATTACATCCTGAAAGAATGGAAAACAATGAACCTCCCATAATTATGACATCATTACATCGGGAAGGAATGGAGGACAATGACCTTGAAATTAGTTCAGATGTGGATGAATTCTCAGACACAAGCAGTTCACACAGACCCAGTGAAGAAGTCCAGAACTAGACCCCTGTGATTCTAGCTGTTTATATTTTTGTAATGATACGTAGGCAGTGTAACTTTATGTATATTATCAGTACGGTCATAGGTTATCAAAAGGGCTCTCCTGCAGTTATTGTGAATCCAAAGGCATTTCTTGATGAATTTACAAAAGAGTGATGATTGTTAAACATTGTAAATCACTTCAGATCACATACTCAGTAGTATATTTAAATCAGAACACGGGGGGACATCAATCTGATTCCAATATTTTGTAACAGATTAGGTTGGGTTGTGTTGAATCGCCTTATATACAGTCAGTCGCAGAACAAAGTCTTTTTAGATAATCTTGTTGCTGATAAGACAAAAATCAAACTGATTTGAAAAATTTTGTCAGATAATGTTGTTATGTTTCCTACAGGTTTGATTGGGGAGAGTGTGCTATTGATGTATATACCGATATGTATTTGTTGTTAGTTCAGTGGTTGTGCTGTCATTTTGTCATGTGACCAAAGTACAAGTGACATATCAGAATCCATTAGATCAAACATTTCCATATGATATTGTTATATTCTTGTGAAATAAGGGGAGGGGGGATACAGTTTTACAATAACAAGATGCCATTTACATTTCTTGCCTTCAGTGTACTGAAACCTTTCAGAATGTGTATGCTAGTATTCTGTTAAATCCATTGTAATTATCTACATGTACTTTGATCCCATTTTTTATTAAACTGTTTTTACTACAAAGCAATTCACACACTGAGATATTTCTTTTTTAATAAATTTTTAAATTTGACATAATACATTTGCAAAAATATTTATGTTATTAGGTTTATTCATTCATCACACACTGTATCCATAGCATATACAAATCTATGGATCTGGCGTGCATGTACACATGTACTAAGAACTAAATATTTTATGTGAACAAGTGCCCGTACTGCAGTTATCCTAATCTCCCATACATAAATTTCTGTGTTTACGGTATCAGATATCATACACTTCATATATAGTACATATATGGTTGATGTGATATCATACATACAAGTGAACATTGCTTGATGTGAATGTTATTGAGATGTTTGTTTGTATATATGTATAATCTTAAGTGTTAAGAATAAGAGAAAAAAATGAAGACAGAAGCAATCTCTTTATTATAGTCTTTTACAATTTATGTCATTAAACTTAAGAGATTCTGCTAAATCCATTGTTTCATGTAAATTCTGAGAGAATTGTATACTTTAAGTCATCCAAAGGCTTGAATGAGCTGTTCTGAATTATTCACCTCATTGTCTGTTTGTCTGTTAGTAAATTTTTTGTTTTCATTATGATAAGTTCTTTTACTGGACCAACTTGCCACAAAGCAAGGAAATTCAAGTTTGTCTAAATGTAATGGTTAAAACATTATTTTTTTATTTCAAATTGACCTTAGGAGAATTTAAGCTTGTTTTTTTTAACTCACCTGAACTGAGCTCAAGTAAGCTTTTCTGATCACCTGTGTCCAGCATCCCTTCTTTTGTCTTAATGCTGTCTGTCTCTTTGTCCAACCAAACACTTTCAATAAACAATACACAAGTATTTCTTACACTTAACAAACATGTAGACACAAGACTTCAGATATAGTATCAATTAACATTTTCAAGTTTTTTTTTACTCTTGAAATTCTTTTTATGAATATTTACAACCTAAAAATGGCAAGTTTTATCATAGAATGATTTTTCTTTTACAACATGTGCCACATCTCTTCCATTTAAGATGTTTTGGAAAGGCTATAATTTGTAAATATCAAGCCTTATTCAGTTTGCTGTAAACTGAAATCGAGTAATGATGAACTTGAAGTTTTTGTCCATTTAAAAAGGTTTTCACATATACATAATGACACTTGTCAGGAGGTAAAATGTTACTCAGGTGAGCCTTGTGGCCCTTCAGCCTATATCACTTCAGTGTATTTATTGAATCAATCTCAAATGTTATTGATCTACAAATAATTAATTTGCAGTAAAAATTAGAATAATCTTGTGTAATCCATGCAATGCTTTATAATTAAAGTCATATAAGTTACACAGAGATAATGAACTAATGCATTCTTATTTCAAAACCAAACGTGCATTTAAGAATAAATTCCCTTTTTCACCAGATAATATCATCAATATTTATTCATAGAAGTAATCTTGTATAAATGATACAGTTGTGCATTTGATAAAAAGCTTTTAGAGTTTATTGCATATAAATTGTGGAAAAAATGTTTATGTATGGACCAACATTGCTTGTTACTGGTATTGTATACATGTACATGTATTATCTGAATTAAGTAATAATAAAATAAATTATTGTAAAGTTGTTATTTTAGTGATCAATCAACATTTAACAATGTATTGTTTATGTGATTTTATTAAAATTTAAGGGGGCCGACTGGGGTTTCCACTGCGCAATACTTCGCACATCATAATAAAATGAAGTGTATTTACTTTTTAAAGCAAGTATTTTCATATATTTAATAAAATTTAACAAAATTAAGAAATCACAGGCTAATAAAATCTAATCACAATTTTATATAACTGATTTTTAAAACAATTTTTCAACCGATGGGTAGATTGACTTCATAATAGTGATGTTATGATAAACTTAAAATTTAAACCATAGAAATTTGAGAATCTCAAAATAATTTTTGTTATTTTTTGTATAAACCCTTTGTATCGGTCGTATTTTGTAGTACTCCATAAAAACAGGAAAATTTCATTAATTGACGTTATTGACATTTAGAGATGCCCCCCCTGGAAACCAGATTGTAGAATTTTGTGTGTCTTGCATATAAATAATGCACAATGTAGTATTACTCATCATACATTACAATTTGAGAAAAAGTCTATAGTAGTATTTGTATAAATTACTTTAAAGGACGAAAAATTGGCACTTTACCATAAAATCCTAAAGTAAATGTACCTGTATTTTTTCCCTTAACTAGGCATGTACACTAAAGTTAATGTCACTCAATAAAACCCCAGTCGGCTCCCTTACAGCGAATTACAATATACAGGTAAAGTTAGCTTGCTGGATAGCTCAATAGGGTATACAATTTGGTCTAACAAGTATCACATTAGGTTTGAATCTAGGTCACGAAGTTACTCAGGTGTATCATTAGATTTTACAGGTAAATGTGAGTTTATTTCAATGTTGAATGAAGTCACTTGTATGTGCCAAGGTGTTCTGCTGTAAATAAATGCATTATTTTTCTTTAATTGCAATTTTTTTCAGTAAAATTGTATGCTAGCTCTTTCAGTAATGCATAAATCTTCCGCATACTATCCTTCTAATTGCTCAAAAGTCTTGTCACTTCCGAAATTAAAACCTACATGATTTATAATCTATTTTCATGACCTACATGCAATTTCAAATTAGAGGGTAAAATTTTTCTTTTGGACAAAAGTTTCATTCTTATCAATAAACAATAGCAACAGCCACTCAATATTTGAAAACTGATTAAAAAGGAGAGAAAATATTGGGGAGGTTGAGGATGGAGGGATTAAACTATGCCTATGCCAACTCTTGGGGCCCATTTTATAAAAGAACTTATGACTAAGTCTTAAAAATTTTTAACATGATAGTTCTTAACTCTCATCACCGAATAATTTTGTGGGATTTTGCTTTTATAAAATTACCTATTTTTTTTCATATAAAGTATAAAATATCAATTTATACAATGTAAAGATTAAAATAAATTGCAAAAGTGCTTAGTTTTAGTCATAAGTTCTTTTGTAAAACAAGCCCTTAATTCAAATTTTAGATTTTCAGAGAGTTACAGAATAAAGAAATTTGATGGGTGTAGAGATGTTGATCATAAATTAATTCAGTACAAGTTATATTTGTTATTTATTATTAAATTATTTAATATATTATTAATATTTATGTGTTTATTTAAAATCCATAAGATGAAAGAAAAATGAAATGGAAAGCTTACTTCCTTACTTGTTAAACAATACCTTTTGCAAGGACAAGGAAGGAGGAAGGGGGGTTGTCATTCATTAATGCTGCATATTAACTGAAATTTGCAATAATTATTAAAGAAATTTTATTAAATGCATTAATTTACAGCAGAACACATTGACACGTATACATGTGGATCCATACAACATTGAAATTAGGGCTGGGACGATACAACTTTTTCTATATCGATACGTATCCCGATATTTGAGCCACGATACGATATGTATCACGATATGTTTAATTGGTTATAAATCCTTTTTTTATATTGAAGTGAACAAAACGTTTCTTCACATATAAGAATAATTTATTCAAAGAAGTTGTATATCTGTTGTAATACTTAATTATTTTGCACAAGTGGTCTTAATTATTATGTATTTTATATTTATATTTATATTAAGCATATTTATTTTACATATTAAACCCAAAATGTTAAGTAAACAAAGAAAAACATTAGTCAGAATTTTTTGGGCGATATGTCGATATTTCTTCATATGTATCGATATGCGTATCATCCTCACATTGAATCGATATTATCGATATCTCGATATATCGTCCCAGCCCTAATTGAAATCAACTCACATCTACCTGTAAAATCTAATATTACACCTGAGTAACTTCATGACCTAGATTCAAACCTAATGTGATACTTGTTAGACCAAATTGTATACCCTATTGAGCTATCCAGCAAGCTTACTTTACCTGTATATTGTAATTCGCTGTAAGTACATACAGTCATACCTCCTTATCTTGAACTCAATGGGACCGAGCAAAAACTTCGAGATATCCTAGGATTCAAGATACCCAGGGTAAAATACTTAAAAAATAAGGGGTTGGGACTTCCAAATCTCTTCGACATATCCATGGTATTCAAGATATCAGTGTTCAAGATAACGAAATTCAACTGTGCTTATTTTTTATGTACAAAGTTTCTGATAATGTTTAAATTCATATCCCACCACCCTCCCCACCTCCTATAATACAGTACCTACAACTGGACATGTAACTTGTATCATCCCCCCACCTCCCCACACCCCAGGACTGGTATTATCCCCTCATCCTCCCACCCTCCACAGTTCAGTACGACTGACATGTAACTTGTATCATCCCCCCACCTCCCCACACCCCAGGACTGGTATTATCCCCTCATCCTCCCACCCTCCTCAGTTCAGTATGACTGACATGTAACTTGTATCATCCCCCCACCTCCCCATACCCCAGGACTGGTATTATCCCCTCATCCTCCCACCCTCCACAGTTCAGTACGACTGACATGTAACTTGTATCATCCCCCCACCTCCCCACACCCCAGGACTGGTATTATCCCCTCATCCTCCCACCCTCCTCAGTTCAGTACGACTGACATGTAACTGGCAATCGAACCCATCTGACTGCCATATTCCTCCCTTCTTAAAGGTCTTCAGCCCCCTAAGACCAGAGACATATATGTCTCTGCTAAGACACCAACCCAGGCTCTTCCCTGGCAGGTCTTTCACCTGTCCATTTCAGGGCATGGCATGGCACCAAATGAACGGGAGAGGAGAAAAATGCGATGGACCAGACCTGGATTTGAACCCAGGCCCCTTGAATCTCCAGTCAGGCTCTCTACCAACTGAATATCTGGCCTCCGGTGATCGAACCCGTCTGACCGCCACAATTGATTATGACGTAGCCGCTCATATGGGGATGGTCTTGGACAAATTAATCCAACTCACAGATATTTTCACAAGCAAAACAAAAATTTTTAGGAATGGGAAAAGGGGAAGAGACAAGCTGCTCTCTTTCATCAGTTCACGACAACTTTGTTAAGAGGGGTGAATGTCCTAGGACTTTTTCTCTTCTATCTTTTTCGTGGCCCGCGTGGCGCAGTGGTTAGAGCAGTGGTATGACTGCTCTAGAGTGGCGAAGTAAGGAGTTGATCCTTACGTCGCGGGTTCGAATCCCACTGTGGGACATGGAGACCGGTCCTTCGGATGAGACCTTATAAACCGAGGTCCCCTGTCGCAGTAGGTGCTGGCACGAAAAAGATCCCTCACTGCTCAATGGCCGTAAGTGCCGAGTATAGGACAAAATTTGCAGCTCTCCATCGGCAAGTGGTGGCGTCTCCATATGAGTGAAAAATTCTCGAGAGGGACATTAAACAAAATACAATCAATCAATCAATCTATCTTTTTCTTTTTGGTTACTTTATCATGTTAATTATGAATTAATTTATCTGAGGGTTGGGGTGGATGGGGGTGAAGTCAGGACCCACAAGATCCTCACACGTTGAATAAGAGAGTTCTATTTATTATATAAGCCACGAACAAAAAGGGTTTGTCAGGTGAGCGTTGTTGCCATTGGGCTTCAAATTCATTTCCGGTATTATACTAACTACCCAGAAATATTCAAGATTTTACACTGCTAAACATCATTTCCGGTAAAAAATGTCAGCTCTCAGGTCCACATGTTTATTTAAACGAATACTTTTTAAGGGACCAAACATCAAATGTGATTTTTATGATAACACTAGAACTATAACAAACGTTAAATATTTATATCGACCAGACACATTACGGTCCCCGCTAGGTATTTGTGCGTGTGTGTTTTTCCGAAGGTCGACCGATCGGTGGTTTCATAGCAGGAGTGTTACATATAACAACAGTGTTACGTCAGACTCAAATGTGAACTATGAGAAGGGAGAGGAGAAAAAATCCAAGTGGAAGAAGTATGGGGAATATTTTATGTGGTTTACACTCGCTTCTTTTTCAGCAGGCTGTGTTTACGGTGCATATATTTTAGGTGAGATAAATCTCATAACCTACCGGTTGGTTATTTTGTAGATAATGGAAAACTTTTAAGTTTTGTTTATTTTTGTTGGTTTTTTCTTTCTTTCCAGTATCTACCTGTCCACTTCTCTAAAGAGAATAGTATCTACCATGTTTAGTTTAAATGAATGCTGACTGAATTTTCTATTGTGAAAAATGATACCGAGCCTCTATTGCTTGAAAAGTTGATGGTCTAGAATATTCTAAATTTGAGGAATATGATTGGTTATGCACAGAATTAAGATCAATATAGTAAACTAAATACAATATACTTTTGTACAAACATTATTTATGGCTTAAACACACCCTGGCCCTATTCTGTAAATTTAAGTCCATAAAGCACAAGTCTTAGAGTGAAACCCTATGAACAAGAATTCAGGGCTATATGTTATTTGACATAAAAAAAAAATCAAGCACAGTGCCCTTGATAATGGTTGATAATGGTTAGCAAAAAATAAATTTGTAAACCTTTCAAGGATTGAGTAGCAGAAAAACACCTAGCTGACTTGATTACATATGCAGCAGTTTGTTAAGAGCAGACAGGTCAATGCCTGCAGGGTACTCTCTATACTATATAAAATTTGTTCTTAGTCAGACTAGTATAAAACACAGTTGATAATTGACCCTCTCAGAATTCAGTATTCTAGATTGTTAGATTACAATTCATTTTCACTTGATTTGCCAGTAACATTCAATTCTCACTATAAATGTACATTATTTTTTTAGGCCTACCACCAACAGACCCAGAAGGCAACGTAGTAAGTTTGACAAATCTTCTTTATATCGGTGCATCCTAGCAGTAGTTCTGTATTTTTGATTGATTTTTCCCAATTACTGTACGTAGTTTAAGTCATTACCTGTATGTATACGTCTAATACAATAGCCACTGTAAGTAAAACATTTATACATTGTTTGTAGGTCGAGGATGAGTTTGGAAAAGGTAAGATTTTTTTCATGGTTATGTACATTATAAAATGTTTTACATTTAATTGTAAAAGGATACTGTACATTATTCATAGCATTGACAACATACAATGCAACATCATGTTGTATGAAACTATGATTCATTAAAAAAAGAATTCCCACATAAAAATTATTTAAAATTTAACATATCCTGATTATGCCAAGACTGTGTGTATAATAATCATCTACAATGTAACACATCTTGTTGTTTGCTGCAGGGTTCTCCATTCAAAGAAGTGTTGCCACCTTTAAAATAAAGAAACAGGTATATTTTTTTTAACATTATTACCTATATGTAACATGCAGTCTATTCCAATGAGTCATTATCATGATTATTGGCCCTTCAGATTTGGGAACAAAGGGGTTCATCTTCTTCACTGTACTAAAATAAATGTTTGCATATTCTTGAAAAATTTGTTTTTAAAATACTGTCTGTAATAAGAACTTTATTAATCATCGATAGGGAACATGCACCAGTTAACTCTGAAATCATAATCATAGACACTTGTCTAGGTGAATCAGACTGTACACTTGTTACTTTTTGGAATCACAGACACTTGTCTAGGTGAATCAGACTGTACACTTGTTACTTTTTGGAATCATAGACACTTGTCTAGGTGAATCAGACTGTTCACTTGTTACTTTTTGGAATCATAGACACTTGTCTAGGTGAATCAGACTGTACACTTGTTACTTTTTGGAATCACAGACACTTGTCTAGGTGAATCAGACTGTACACTTGTTACTTTTTGGAATCATAGACACTTATCTAGGTGAATCAGACTGTACACTTGTTACTTTTTGGAATCACAGACACTTGTCTAGGTGAATCAGACTGTACACTTGTTACTTTTTGGAATCACAGACACTTGTCTAGGTGAGTCAGACTGTACACTTGTTACTTTTTGGAATCATAGACACTTGTCTAGGTGAATCAGACTGTACACTTGTTACTTTTTGGAATCATAGACACTTGTCTAGGTGAATCAGACTGTACACTTGTTACTTTTTGGAATCACAGACACTTGTCTAGGTGAATCAGACTGTACACTTGTTACTTTTTGGAATCATAGACACTTGTCTAGGTGAATCAGACTGTACACTTGTTACTTTTTGGAATCACAGACACTTGTCTAGGTGAATCAGACTGTACACTTGTTACTTTTTGGAATCACAGACACTTGATGAATCAGAGTTTATACTTGTTACTCTATAGAGTTAGTTACACTTGGTGAATCAGAAATTATATTTGTTATTCCTTGAAACTATAGACACTCAATGAATAAGGCTTTACACTTAATACTCCATGAAGCTATAGACACTTGATGAATCAGAATTTACATTTGATGGATCAGACTTTACACTTGGTGAATCAGACTTTACAGTAGATGTCTAGATGAATCAGACTTTACACTTGTTACTCCTTAAAACTATAGACACTTGATGAATCATATTTTATACTAGATGAACCATACTTTACACTTAATGAGTCATACTTTACACTTGATGAATCAAACTTTACACTAGATGAATCAGGCTTTACACTTGATAAATCAGTTTTTACACTTGAGGAATCAGACTTTACAATAGATGAATCAGATTTTAGACAAGATGAATCAGATTTAACACTTGATAAATTAGATTTTACACTTGATAAATCAGACTTTACACTTGATGAATCATACTTTACACTAGATGAATCAGACTTTACACTTGATGAATCGGACTTTACACTTGTTGAATCAGACATTACGCTTGATAAATCGGGGTTCACACTTGATGAATCAGATTTTACATTTGATGAATCAGACTTTACACTTGATGAATCAGACTTTACACTGGCTATACTCTGATAACAGGAGATGGAGGAGCCCTCCAGAAAGAAGCTGCTTCCAGAGCCCCTCCAGCCCCCTTTTGTCCAGCCCCCATACACACTGGTCATGGAGATCACTGGTATCCTGGTCAAGCCTGAGTGGACGGTAAACTCTCACTCATACAAATAAAGTAAAATGTGTCTTACATTCATAGAGGGTACCTGCTCATAACTAACTTTAAATAACTTTTAACTAACTAACTCATAACTAAGTTTGTAAAGCCAGACTGGTAAAATGTGTCTATGTTTATAGAGGGCACCTGCTTATAACTTGAAACAAACATAAAGTTTGTCAAGCCAGAGTGGACAGTAAACTTTCTAAAATGTTATATGATGATGAGCATGTACATGCTTTAAACTGCTCTCAGAAGTCATCTTAATTGTTGCTATTACACTTACAGATTAAGAATGGATGGCGGTTTAAGAAGAGACCAGGGGTGGATTATTTCCTCCAGGCTGTTGGGCCACCTCTGTTTGAGACCGTTGTTTACACCTCTGAGACTGGCATGGTAGAATCAGTTTGCTACAGCATTCATTCATGAATAACATACACAGTGATAAACTCTTTTTAGAAATGAAGGATACAAATTTTTCTTTCAGAATGCTGTTCCTGTGATTCATAGCCTTGATCAACAAGGTCACGTCATGTATAAGTTATACAGAGATGCCACGTGGTATGACGGTAAAGATCATGTCAAAGTGAGTATTAGATCAACAAGGACACGTCATGTATAAATTATACAGAGATGCCACGTGGTATGACGGTAAAGATCATGTCAAAGTGAGTATTAGATCAACAAGGACACGTCATGTATAAATTATACAGAGATGCCACGTGGTATGACGGCAAAGATCATGTCAAAGTGAGTAATAGTTAGATCAACAAGGTCACGTCATGTATAAGTTATACAGAGATGCCACGTGGTATGACGGCAAAGATCATGTCAAAGTGAGTTATAGTTAGATCAGCAAGGTCACGTCATGTATAAGTTATACAGAGATGCCTTGTGGTATGACGGCAAAGATCATGTCAAAGTGAGTAATAGTTAGATCAACAAGGTCACGTCATTTATAAGTTATACAGAGATGCCACGTGGTATGACGGCAAAGATCATGTCAAAGTGAGTATTACTTAGATCAACAAGGTCACGTCATGTATAAGTTATCCAGAGATGCCACGTGGTATGACGGCAAAGATCATGTCAAAGTGAGTATTACTTAGATCAACAAGGTCACGTCATGTATAAGTTATACAGAGATGCCACGTGGTATGACGGCAAAGATCATGTCAAAGTGAGTATTACTTAGATCAACAAGGTCACGTCATGGATAAGTTATACAGAGATGCCACGTGGTATGACGGTAAAGATCATGTTGAAGTAAGTAATACTTAGATAAACAAGGTCACGTCATTTATAAGTTATACAGAGATGCCACATGGTATGACGGCAAAGATCATGTCAAAGTGAGTGTAACCTTGATCAAGGACACATGTGTATGGTAAGGTTAAAAAAAATAGCACAAAGATTACATCTTAGTCATAAAACTGTGCAAAAAAATCTCTGAAAAATCTAGCATTTGAGTCACCATGTTGTATTGATTGAAGATAAAAATGCTTGACCTAACAGAGTGTGAACTTTTTTATATTTGAAGATTTGTTTTTTGGTCATACATCAGCTTTTAGGAATTTTATAGAATTATAAATCCCAAACAGCAGAGGTTTTATTTTCTTGCAAAATTTTGTGATAGAGATTATCAGATATACTGTCTCTACAACATGTAGTATATTTTGATCTATATTAGCTAATTAATTGTCTGCCAGACTCATAGTGTTAAATTGTGCAAGAATTGATCCCTGAACCAGTATTTTAATTTACTGATGAAGTTTGAATTTATATTTTTTTCCAGGATTTGTCCTATTTAAACAGAGATTTAAACAAAGTTATAATGATCGACTGTAAACCCAAATCTGTGAAGCTGCAGAGGAACAACGCATTCGTTCTGAAAGAATGGGACGGGGATGAGAATGACACCACGTTGTTTGATCTGGCTTCTTTTCTACAAAGTAAGTCAGTTGTTAGAGAAAGGGGGAGGGAAAAAGGCACCACTTAAATATAGCATAATATCTACCAGATAAGAATTTTATAATAACAGGAATTTACTTTAGCCCTTCTTAGTGTATATAATGTAATAAATTTCATCCTTTAGTGTATGCATCAATCTTTCCATGAATATTACATTCTCTGTCAAATAGGTTATGAATAAAATTCTGATATTCTGACCTTATACAAAGAACTTAAGAATGAAATTAAAATCAACTTCAACAATCTCTTTTATCCTTTACATTGGATAACATTATTTAACTGTACATGTCAGAGGAATTCAAGCATATGGTGTTGTAAAAGCCTTGTAAAAAAAACTAAAATAAGTGTTATCTTTTTTTCAGCATTGGCACACAGTAAGATTGAAGATGTCCGTACAGTGTTAGAATACTACATGCAGTTTGATGACCCTATTGCCAAATTTAGAGAAAATCAGTTACTCCTTCAGGTTAGATAATTATTTTACTGCCACAAATTACAAGAACATGTACTTTAAGGAGTTAGATGGAACTCAGAGCCTGTAATAGAAAAATGACAATGTACCAACTACACATTATAGAGATGTACATTTGTAATTGACATTTTGATGTAGATGTCATAAACTTGCTTATTTTTGTATACTGACTACACATTATAGAGATGTAAATTTGTAATTGACATTTTAAAGTAGATGTCATAAACTTGGTTTATTTTGTAGGAAGAGCAAGAAAGACAAAGACAAGAACAGGAGAAGCCAAAGCAGAAATCACCGTTTGATTTCGCCAAGTCATTTAGAAAGAGATAGCTCAAGAACAAGTGGCTGAATGGTGGAAATATCCCAATGTAACAAGTATAGAGTGCTTTCTGCATCAGTGTGAAGTGTAAAGAAACAAGTGAAAACTGCATCAGATGCATGACAATATCATACAAATGCATTCACTCTAAATTGAAATAAAATCATGAACAATACTGCCAGATGATGAGACTGTCAATAAAATTGTTTTTATACTGTGTAGATTATTGTTGATATATTTATCTATAGGTGTGCCCAACTTTATGACAGAAAATTGTTTAAGAGTACTTGTTTTGAAACTCTTTTATCTATGACATTTTTTATTTTGAAAAGAATTAGCAAATGTGACCTTTACTATAGTTTTCTCATTGGTGAAACTCATGTAACTTCACCTTCATCTTAAGAATAATGAATAGCATGAATAACAAATTTTGTATGAATTTTTTTGTCCCTGCTTTTTGTTGAAAGTTGGGGATATTAATGTAGGTCTGTCTGTCCTTCTGTTTGTGTACTTTAGTTACAGAACGATATTTAAAAAAAAGTGCTTTAACTTCTGCAAAGAAATTTTATAACTCCCTAAGATTTAAAGAAAACCCCTATTGATTTAAGGTCAAAGGTCAAGGTGATTTTTTGAATTGAAGTTTTATATAATAACTCCTAATGACTTGAGGAAATCCCCTATTGATTTTGAGGTCAAAGTCCAAAGTCAGAAATTCACGTATTGTATAAAGTTCTTAGGTGATAACAAGTACTCTTGGAGATTTTGCAATGAAGCTAAAGGTGATCAATCTCTGTAACTGAATAAAGACCCTTATCGATATTAATGCCAAAAGGTGAAAGGTCAAGGTCAATCATTGTTTTTCTTTTGCTATCAGCATTTTTTAAAGGTTGTCTGACCCCCTTATTTTGTCCTTAAGTGAGGGACATAAATTCCCCGAACTAGCTTGTCATGGCACACTTTTTATGCCCCTCCATGAATATAACCACTATTAGACGCTTTAGTTCTGTATACTGGTTTGAAAAAAAATATTCCATTTCGATCACTTTTAGGCTGGCTGAAATTAATTCTACATTTAACATCACCTATAAACTTCAAAAACCTACAAGGGTGGGAGAAAAAAATTAAAGAATTTCAAACAGATGAGTATTAACTAGAATGCCAAATTGTTTGTTTTTTCAAAGTGCCAATTTCTCCGACACCTACGCACGCAGGTGATGTTACACATAGAATTAACTTTGAACAGCCTTAAGCACAGATTGAAAAAAACAAGATACATTTCAAATTGATGTACCATTTGGCATGTCCTATGGACATTTTTCTTGCACTGAAAAGCCATGACAGATTTATCAAGTTCGTTTACTCTACTGCAATGTACCGATCACGGTAGCTCAGTCGGTAGAGTGCTCACACCGTGATCAGGAGGTCGTGAGTTCAAATCTCGGCCGCGACTGACCTAAGTTGATAAAAAATGGGTAGCAACTGTTCCTTTGCCATGCACTCGGCACTTCGGATGAGACCTTAAAAACCGAGGCCCCGTGTCACGGCAGGCGTTGGCACGATAAAGATCCCTCACTGCTCAATGGCCCTGAGTGCTGAGTAAATGTCAAAATTTGAAGCCCTTCACCTGTATATGGTGACGTCTCTATACGAGTGAAAAATTCTCGAATGGGACGTAAAACAACATACAATCAATCAATCAATCTTCTGCAATGTAAAACTGGTGTTTCTTCAGAAAACTTGAAAAAATTCTTTTCAATGGGAAAATAGGAACTTTATAACATAGAAATCCAGCAATTTCTGATTTATTTCTTTAGTATGAATATATACTTAACAGTAACATATTTCATGGATGTGAAAACATTGGTACATCATAAATCAATGATTAAAACGATGTGTATTGTATACATATACATGTACTATGTTATTTCAATACAAGTATAACAGGTAAACCCAGGTATATCAGACTTGCTGGGACTGACAACAAAAAACCTAGTGATATACAAGAATTCAATAAAGTTGAAACTCTTATTCAAATGAAAGGAGCCTGGAGTTACTTCCCTATTTCCCTGGTCTTTGACATTATACTTGTGTTTGAGATACAGCTGTATTTATATGTCTTCTGGATTTGAGCTGGACCAATGCTTTTATATGGCACAATTATTGACAACATAAATAAATATATTTTTAATAGCATTTTTTTTTTTACAAAAGACTGTAGCAATGACAACAATTAAGGTGAACCTGCTTTTTTGGGGATTTTTTTTTAATCTGAAGTAACATACTTGCCTATAAATGGGAGTCAAATTTTGGTTCAAAACTCTATGTCCGACTTATAAATTCCATTTTTCTAGAAGAGGAAATATAGTAATTATGTATCAACTCCAGCGATAATCATTTATAAAGGTCAGAACTTAAAGATTCTTTTAATATAAGGAAGGGAAGATCTAAGGTTACCTTATGCATAAAACTTGTGCTTAGAAATTTTAAAAATACTATTTTTGTTTGATTTGTGAAAAGATCAAATATCAATGTGATTCCCCAAAACATACTTTAAAACATGTGTAAGTACAATAGAATATTGATCAGAAATTGGCAACAGATTCTGGCCAAAAAAAGTACCAACTTATAAGCGGATCAATGGCATATTTCTCCAAAATAGTCTGACTTATATGCAAGTATATTACGAAATTTTTTAATTAATTTATGTATCAAATTGACATATGAATTCTGTGAGTCTCTCCAGTGCTCTGTTATTCATATCACAAGTATACATCCCTTTGCTAGTGAGAAAGGCAATGTCCACAATAGCATAAAGATCTCGGAATTTATCCCCGTAGAGAAGTTTTTCTGAGGTTTGTGGGGGCAGGGCGTGAAGCTCTTTATGATGTATCACTGCTACTGTCACTGATTTGGAACCTGCCAAGAAGGGCGAAAATTTGTTAGGAAATTAAATTGCAGATCTGTTGCACTTTAAAGCTAATTCTTTTGAAAAATTTGGATTCAAAACTCACACTCAATTCAATGACCTTTCTTTCAATTTCCCCTGAAATTAAATTTGTCAAGGGACTCCAGAGAAATGTCATATGATAATTTACTAGTTTATACAAATTCCCACCATTTCAAATTTTAATTTACACCTTGTATTCATTCTTAGAAATTTAAACTGCAATGCTAGATCTTAACTTTGTTTTACAATGTATATAGCTAGTGTTCTAAGACACAGCTGTGATGTCTGATGCATTAAGACCATACTTACAGTTGACCTGCTGAAGAGCCTGTTCCACATCTGTCCCCAGTCTGGAGGCGTTAATACACAGAACTATCAGGGGTTTGTTTGAGGACACAGATTTAGCATCAGAGGTATACACAATCTCCAGTTGTCTGCCCCTGGTGGCCTCCAGATGCCCCATCAAGATGATTTGTAGCTCTGATCTCACCGCAGTAGAAATTTTCTCATTCATTGATGGGGCATATATGTATATTTGAACTTCAAATAAAAGAATAGGATTTATATAGATAGAAGTATTGCAATAGTGTATTTCATGTGAATTTTATAGTTAAAACTGAAATTAAAGAAGAGGGTACATGATATGTATTTTGGTATTTAGGTTTTATTTTATTGAGTAATTAAATATTCACTCTTCCTTAACAAACTTTTTTCCCTTATAATATATCTAGATACTTAAATGTTAATGGCCAATGTTTCAACCAATCTGTGCAGTTTTGTTGCAAAAGATTAAAATTTTCATCATTTCCCTTGTAATTACCAGGTTTTTTACGCATTGCTTCCTCCAAGCGATATTTCAATCTCTGCACTTCTCTTTCCAATTCTCCATTTTGATGTTGAAGTGTTACTCTTTCACGATCCTTTTCTTTCCATCTCCTCACTTCTTTTTCTAGCTGTTCTTTATCACTTTGGAATCTTTTTCTCTCAGAATCCACATAGTTCTTTTCCCTCAATAATTCATCATAACTTCTTTTCAAATCATCAAGACTACGTTGAAGAACATTTGCTTTATGCATGTAATCAATTTGATCCCCACGAGAAGAACGTGGTGTGTTCAATAAGTGTTTAACTTTTTCCTTTCCATCAACCAGTTTCTTAATTTCATCACTTTGTGAATTTATTTCTCTATGCATTGACTCCTATAATGAAGAAGAAAGTCATGCATGCATCTTAATTTGGATTATCTAAATCATTTAAATAGGCATCTAAAATCAAACATATACAATTTAGAGATACAGTTAAGCCTACAAAGCAATTTAATGTGCTCTACATATTTGTATTGCCTCTAAATCCACCAGCAGCTAGTCCTCTGACTTATGTCCCTTGGGTCCACGCTCCACTGGTTGGGGCTAATTTTGTCTTATATTGAATGTTCATCATACTTTTGAAAATTCTCTTCATTCTTGAAAACTTTACAAGCAGATTGTATGCAGAATTAATCCCCTGAGAAAGCTGTGAAATTTGTGTCCCCAGGCCTCAGGCTGCATGGTGGGACCAAATTGATCATTTGCACTATATATCTAACAACAAAATTATACAAAGAGTCACAGTAGCCTAATGGTAGGATGCTCATTCACTCCTTGATTCCCATTCTTGCCACATGTCAAACCTAAGATGTATGATACAGGTAGTGACTGTTACTTCACAAAGTGCCTGGCATTAGATGTGCAAGTCACAAGGCTTTTGGATATGACCTTAAAAATTATGTCCCCTGTTATGATAGGTGTTGGCATGATAAAGAACCCTCACTGCTCAATGGCCCTGAACTCCGAATAATGGTGTAAATGTGAAGCCCTTCACTGGTATTTGGTGATGTCGTATATGAGTGAAAAATTCTTGCAAGGGAGGTTAAACAACAAATAATCAATCAATCTAAACTACATGTTCACAACAAATGAAATGACTTCTAATTTTCCATCATCAACTTTCCCTATATATGTAGTCATATTCCACTATCTCCTGCATGTGGTATTAACGTCTACCCAACTGATAAGCTACAAAAGAGCATGTTCTTCTAAACTGAGGCAGGATGCTGATAAATAAGTTGACGTAATAGGGTTATCAACTATCTCATTTAAAGTCAGCATTTCGCAAATTCTATGGAACTATTGTTACAATGACCTTGTTTGCAAATACAGCGTATTATTTTATTGTATTCAATTATGACTCGCATGTTTCCCATAAATTTTTGGCCATTATTTTTTCACAAATTTAACTATGGATTACTCTGTTTACCTGATTGATGTAAAGGACTTATAGTGATTGAAGGATGCTTACTGACCTCCTGGGAACCTGTACCCACCTTTGGTGTTTCAAGGGTACATTAATTGCTTTTGCCCTGTTAAAGATTCATATCCTTTTCAGGATTGCTCACTCTGTTCACTGTTCATTTTCTTCACTTTTACATTGTTTTACATTAAAAACATAATTCTGATCGAGCAACTAAGACATAAGATTCATGCAATGTGATTATGAACAAAATCTCAGTCTTCTGCCATTTATATGTAAAATTCATGAATGGTAATTGGTTTAGAGAGTTTTCAGTTCCACATTGCATTGATTATAACCTGAGAAACTCAGAAAGCCACCAGCAACTAGAACTTGATCAAGTTGTTCCATTATGGCATCAGGAGAACTCTTTTAACCTGGATAAAGAGCTTCCTAAGTGACCTGGATTGCCAGAGAGTCATGATAGACAGGCAACCACTCATCAGCACCAGTTACATCTGGAGTACCCCAGGGCTCAGTCCCAGACCCACTACTCTTCCTTCTCTATATCAATGACCTGCCAGATAGAGTAAAATCAACTACCACACTCTTTGCAGATGATATTCTGCTCTAGGCCTACAGGAGAATCAAATCATCAGAAGATAGTCAGGTGACTGCCACAGCCCATGGGCCTGTTTGTTTGTTGTTGTTTTTTTTTTGGGGGGGGGGGGTGTTTTTTTGGGTAAATGGCACTGAACCTTAAAAATACCTGGATTCTGCCCAGTTGCAGTAGGAAATGGCATTTAAGATTTGGTCATCAGAGAGAGGAAGCGAGGATTAAATTCATAATGAATACATGAAGTGATATAGTTCCCTGGTGTTATTCGTAGCACAAAATTTTGTAATACCTGTTTTGTAGCAATGATAGATATCAAAGAATCAAGATCATTGATCTGTTTTGTGATTTCCTCATTGCTATCTTGCTTTGAAAACGAATATCCCATCATGAAAAAATCGGTCTGTTCGGGTAAGCAGTTACCTTATCTAGTACTTTCGCTTTCGGTTTGTTTCTCGTGTACATTATGTAACGTCTTTAAGTGATGGAGAAAAATGACCTCTCTATTCCTCTCCACTTATGCATTGTTTAAATGGTTATGATCAAAAGTAATTATAAAACATTATTTCATTATTTTCCGGATTAATGGTGTGTTCGCTGTGAAATTTACTACCCTCATATGATTTCCTGTTGCGAGAAGACAGAGTAAGGTATAATAGCTCATATCATAATATTTTTTTCTCTTTCCTGATAATTTGGGTAGCTAAACACAGTTTTATATAAAATCCAGGTTTTTTTTCTCAGAAGAGAGCATGCTGGGTAGGGATTTGCCTGCTATTTATATGCAGTCTACATGAAAAATGCAACTTTCTTAGCTTTATTAACAGGTCCAGTCCGAAGACTATTTCTACCTACGCAGCTATTACAAGCATATCTTTTAAAAAGATTGGTGAGCTAGCGCTGTAGCATAATAAAATACAGAAAAAGATATCTGAACCATTTGTTAAATTTGCTGAATCGATTAATTATTAAAAGGAAGGCAGACTGGTGCACTGGGGGGTTGAGTTTGAGGTGTGTGTGTCACAATTCAGAATGGTGAATCTATGAGTGTGCTTCACGTCGGCAATGGCATAACCCCTAACTGTGCTTTAAGCATTCTGTATTTTAATGTAATTTCAATTTCGAGGTGAAAAATAAAAGGACAGTAGAACCGAGGAGCACCTTCGGGCCTTTCTGGCAAGCTCGGAAAACATATCCGAGGTTGCCGCGGTTTCCGAGCTTGCCGGAAAGATCCATGAAGGTCGATTAGAAAAGCTATGTATTCATTACAACTTTAGTCTTGGTTTTATAAGACCAAAGTTACTGTTACTTTTTGTTCATTTACGTGCAGGTTAGACAACAGAACACGAAACTTCAGATCATATGCATTTTCAGAAGATAAACACTAAATTGACATGTCTTTCCAACATACTCTGAAAAAGATCTTTGTTGTTGTTGTTTTTTCCGAGCTTGCCGGAATTATCCACTAAGGTGGTAAAACTGTAAGGAAAGCTAGATGTCTAGAATCTTGGCATTATATGGCCAAATTTTTTCTTGTACTTTTATGTGTAGGTTAGACAATAAATTTTAAAAAGATTCAGAATCCGGATCTAGACTGGTATTGACTGTCTCTAACCTACGAAATGTATATTGCGCATATCAGACAGGAAAGGCCTGAAATTCGGATCATTTCTATTTTTGTATGACAAAACGAAATTGTTATCGTACAGTCTATCTACAGTAGTTTTCCCAGAATCCCCGACCGTGAAGTCGAGCATGCGTATTTCAGAAATATAGACTAACGTAGTTGCTAGCGCTCGAGAGCGCTAGCAATAATGGGACATACTAAAACAAGTCCCACGGGGAAAATAAGTCCCACATGAGTCCCACAGAAAAATAATAAGTCCCACCAGAAAATATCATATTTTAGTAATGTTTAAGAGTATATCTTTATAGATTCTCATTGCTTAAATATATTTTGAATAAAAATCATTTTAAAAAAAAAGTGTTTAGAAGCATTTATTCTGATCGGTTACAAAAACAAAGAACGATAACTCCTACATCCTCACATAATTCAAGTGCAATTTCCAAGTCCCACCAATAATGACAACAATTTAGTAGTTTTTGAAAACAAATATTTATAGATATCATTATTATCTAATAATTATTATCTTTCTTTATTTTTTTTTTTTTAGAAAAATATGTTAGTTCCAAGATTTTTATTATGATCTTTTACAAAGAACAGTAACTCCTACGCCCGCTTCAAGTAACAAGCCATCTAGCATGTCAGGGGTGTCAGACACTCAGAGTAACGATTTTCATTTCAAGCTCACATAATTATTCTTTAATTCTTATAAAAAGTGTGATAAAATAGCTTAATCAAGCTATTCTGAATAGCTTAATAAAGCTTTAACTAAATCAAGAGATTGTGCTTGACCTGCTAATGACTTGTCAAAATCTAAAAACAGCATCTACAGTTGACTTTGATTCTGATCGAATTTTAAATAAATAATTTTACAACAGTACAATATCAAAACTTGGAGAAAAATTTTTTTTCAGTGCATGTATTCTGCTGTCTTTACATCAAAGTTGTTCATTAAAAACTCAACATTTCTTTCTTATCAAAATTAAAATCAACATCTAAATTTGTTGTTAAAAATTTGGCTTGTACATATAAATCATGGTGTAAGTGACTAAGTCACTATTTAAATTTCAATTGTAAAAATTGGACATAAAACTCATCTGGTATCTGTATGCAAAACTTTAATTGCAGTGACTATAAACTATTTTTTTTTAAATAAACAAATATATTTATCCTATTTATTAACTTTTTTCTTCATTTAATTGTCATTATTTGGCTTTTTATCCTTATAGCTACCTAGGTATTTAAACCTACTTGAAGCATGATGAATAAAATGTTTGGCATTTAAAAAAAATAAATAAATACGATCGTTTGAGAAAAAAAACACGATTATATTTTATTTTATATAAATCTAGATTCTAAATTTATATTTTCCTCATTCTTAGAACTCGTATTTTTCCTTGTGTTTTAAATCCCATAATTAAAACAAACTTAATTGAGACGTCACAAAAAAGTAATAAATTATTTCATGAAATGACAGAAAATTTTTTGTTATTCCTACAATATAAATTCAAAATATTTAAAACTTAACCTGTTGATTTTTTAGGTCACCTGAGTCACTCAGGTGACCTATTGCTATCTGTTTTCGTCCGTCGTCGTCCATCGTGCATCGTCTGTCGTGCATCGGTCGTAAACTTTTGAACATTTTTAGCTTCTTCTCTTGAACCAATTTCAACCAATTTTGGCATATAGCATCAATGGGTGAAGGGGTACAAAAATTGTGAATTTCATGGTCCCTGCCCCCCTGGGGCCTGAGGGGTGGGGCTAAAACCATCAAAATTAGTGCTATCTTTAAAAATCTTCTTCTTTACTCCTGGACATCAAGCAGTCAAACTGTTGGCATGATTGTAATAAGCATTGAGCCCTCTACCAAAATTGTGAAATTCATGGCCCCAGGGTCAGGGGTTCTGGTGCTAGGGTGGGGCTATATAGATCATATAGTGAAAGTGCATTATTTCTTTGAAAATCTTCTTCTCTTCTCCTGGGTATTATTTAAACAAACTAAGTGCATGGTTATGACAAGCAATGATGCCTTTTCCAAAATTGTGAAATGCATGGCCCCTGGGTCAGGGGTTCTGGTGTTAGGGTGGGGCTCTATTGATTGTATAGTGAAAATGCATTAATTCTTTGAAAATCTTCTTCTCTGCTCCTGGGTATTATTTAAACAAACTAAGTGCATGATAATGATGCACAAGGATGATTTTTCCAAAATTGTGAAATTCATGGCCCCAGGGTCAGGTTTCTGGTGTTAGGGTGGGGCTCTATTGATTATATAGTGAAAATGCATTAATTCTTTGAAAATCTTCTTCTCTGCTCCTGGATATTATATAAACAAACTAATTGCATGGTTATGATAAGCATTGATGCCTTTTCCAAAATTGTGAAGTTCATGGCCCCTGGGTTAGGGGTTCTGGTGTTAGGGCAGGGCTCTATTGATTATATAGTGAAAGTGCATTATTTCTTTGAAGATCTTCTTCTCTTCTCCTGGGTATTATTTAAACAAACTAAGTGCATGGTTATGACAAGCAATGATGCCTTTTCCAAAATTGTGAAATGCATGGCCCCTGAGTCATGGGTTCTGATGTTAAGGCAGGGCTCTATTGATTATATAGTGAAAATGCATTAATTCTTTGAAAATCTTCTTCTCTGCTCCTGGGTATTATTTAAACAAACCAAGTGTATGATAATGATGCACAAGGATGATTTTTCCAAAATTGTGAAATTCATGGCCCCAGGGTCAGGGGTTCTGGTGTTAGGGTGGGGCTCTATTGATTATATAGTGAAAATGCATTAATTCTTTGAAAATCTTCTTCTCTGCTCTTGGATATTATGTAAACAAACTAATTGCATGGTTATGATAAGCATTGATGCCTTTTCCAAAATTGTGAATTTCATGGCCCCTGGGCAGGGATTGACATTAACGGTTGTCCGATTGCCCGGGGCAAGTAATTTCTGAGTTCGGGCAAGTGAAATTATTGACGTACTTGTCCGATAGGGCAAGTGAATTTTTCTCATACAGATGTTCATATTTATTTAGTTTACATTAATTTATAAATAAAACAATAAATTGAACACTTGATTTCTGCCACGCACCTGACTGACAATGTTTTTAGATTCGGAATTCCTTGGTAGCGTTTCTGGATTATACCGCTCATTTAAAAATTGGGTATTTTGTTAACTTTCTCATTAGGAAATTAGATTATTTATTCAAGCACAGAATATATTAAGCACAGTGTAACACGATATATCCTGATCAAGATAAGATGTATGTTTCATAGCAACTATATTCCTTTAGCGTTGCTTCACAGTTATCTCTGAAAATCACGAATCACAAAAGGGTCCTACCGAAAATAATTTTTAAAAATATGAATTTTATTAAAAAGAAACGGAGGGTTATTTTTGCATGACAGTGTATGTTTACAAGTTAAATTTACAAGTACAGCGGTATACAATTATGTACAAATGCGCCTGCATCGACAATTTTTCAGGTAGCTAAACCTGCCAAATTGACAGTAGTGTATTTGGTCACATTTTTTCTTATCATAACGTTTACAGTAATTAATAATTTTCTTCTTAAGTTCTTTCCTAATTTTGGACAACCAAGTTTTGTATTTGGACAAGTCAAAGTTTGAGATCACTTGCCCGAAGGGCAAGTGAATCTGAAAGTTAATGTCTATCCCTGCTGGGTCAGGGGTTCTGGTGGTAGGGCGGGGCTCTATTAATTATATAGTGAAAATGCATTAATTCTTTGAAAATCTTCTTCTCTGCTCCTGGATATTA